AAAGTAAGTGAGGATTGGGTTAATAAAACAATACATAAATCATCTTCTTAATCCATGTGGATTTTCCTGTCTCTTTCCTGATATGGAGGTAGGTGACTAGAGCAGCTGTGAGCTGCAGCTGTGCTTGAAGCAAGAAATAAAGAGGCTACATAGTTCTTGAAATATTGCTTGTAATTCCCATGGGTTTTAGCACTGGGATACTTCATGGTTGTTGATACCCAGAAATCGTTTCTTTGGTGTTAGTGGAAAAGATACCTGATTAATTCAGCTCTTTATTTTCATAGACAAAATCCAGATGATGTCCATACCTTGGCTCAGCTGATTTCTGCCTACTCACTAGTTGATGCTGAGAAAGCCAAAGTGTATCCTTTCTATGAGGTTGAGGAGATGTGTCTACAGGCAGTGTTTGGTGATTCCATCAAGTAGGCCTGTTTGCCACAGTAAACTTGTACACCAAGTTATTTTTTATTTACCTGCATGTTGTTTGTTTCAAGATTTAAATCATCCCTTTGCTTTTATTTATTTTATCTATATTGTTATTCCTAAACTCTTTCCTTGCAATAGTCTTAGCAAACATTTGCCTTCTTCAGACACAATGTCTTTGAAAGTAGATATAGAGGCACTGGAAAGCTCACATGGAGCAACATACATTCGGAAAAAAGGCGGGAAACCCACAACCGAGAATCAACAAAAAGAACAAGGGTAAAATAAGCTTTCTAAAATGATTATAAAATGAATTATAATCTCAAGCAAAGGGGATATGGAGAAGACCAATTCCATAAACAAAACAAATATACTGGTTATAGATTTCTCTCTCCCTTTTTAATTCTAAATCAAAGTCCTAAAATTCTTCTTTGGCAACCATTAACTTCAAATCTTCTCATGCTCTTCATTTCAAATATTTTCTTGCTTTTTTTTAGTCAAGGGGATGTTAAGAAAAAGAAGAAGAAAAAGAAGGGTGAGTGTCTTATTACTACAGTACTAGCTTGTTGTAAAACATACGTTTGGGGACTTGGATATTAGGACCTAAATACTTCCCAGCTAAAAATAAAATTTAAAAATGTAGATTTGATTTGATTTTATAATGCAGCATTGGCTGTAGCCTCTCTGACTAAATTATTATTTAAAAGGTAATACATTTCTGATATCTAATTGCTGGATGAAACAAGGAAGATCTGCTATCCTGCTTCCCAAAAGCAATTGTTTAGTCACAACTGGATGCAAGAGTAGATAGATTTTGGTAGTTTTTTAATGCATCTTCTAAACTTTTAAAAAGACTGCCATGTTTGAAACAAATCCAATTTTCACAAGCCAGAGTTTCATCTTTGCATTGTATGCTATTTGTAGTGATATTGTATTACTGCAAAAAGGGACTTTAAAAAAAGATGTATAGCCTACAATTAATATAAAAGTCATTGTCCCATACATAAAACATTTGGATTATATGAGTTTTGCAATGGAATAAAATTTTGGGTTATATGAGTTTTGCAATGCAGCTATTCTTAAAACAGACCATATGAGTAATCATTCTATTCCAAATGCTATGTAGGAAAACTGCCGAAGAATTATGATCCTAAAATGACACCTGATCCTGAACGGTGGCTTCCAATGCGAGAACGCACTTACTATCGTGGGAGAAAGAAAGGCAAGAAGAAGGACCAAATTGGGAAAGGAACTCAGGGAGCAATGACGGCAGCTTCCTCTGAATTGTGAGTAACTAGTTATCTAAACTTGTGCACGTCAGGTTTGGTGCTGCTCAAGAACTGGTTCAGGTAGTCCTTAACTTACAGATATTCATTTAGTGACCATTCGAAGTTACAACAGCACTGAAAAATGTGACATGTCCTTTTTTTGTACTTACGGCCACTTGGCAACTGGAAGTCAGATTCACTTAACTATGTTACTAACTTAACAACTGCAATGATTCACTTAACAACTGTGGCAAGAAAGGTTGTAAAATGTGGCAAAACTCACTTAACTGTTTTGCTTAGCAGTGGAAATTTTGAGCTCAGTTGTGGTCGTAAATTGAGGATTACCTGTAAGAAGGATGAAAGGATAGATATTTCATGTTTAGGGACAAAAGATGGTAATTCTTTGCCTTGATAAATAAGCACATCAACCAGGAATCAGATATAATCTTATATTACATTTATAGTTGCGTTTAGTTAACTTATAAATTAATTACAGTATATGCGATGGTTTGAGAAAAGGAAAGAGGGGCGAGGATTTTATGTTGTAAAGGGAAAAGTAAGTTATAAAACACCAATTTCTGTTCTGAATTACTTCTTGAATTAGTTTGCTTGCCTGCATAGGTTTACTATGTGGCTATTTCTATACACAATATTCTTACACATACCTTTCTGCAGATGTTCTCTTTTAAGTATTTTATCATTAATGCTGTCAAGAAATTGTTTTCTACTGTCCTTGGAAAAGCAGACTGTGGGGCAAAAGTGTTGCTGTTAAGTTAATTGACACTTTGTGATCTGAAGTGCTCAGGGAGATGAGGTTGCCAGTTTAAAATCATTTAATATGGCTTCCTGTTTTGTCCCATAGTGAAGCAGATGAGGCTTTTCTAAGTTTGGGTACAGGTAGTCCTGGACTGCCCATTTAGCAGTCTGAAAGTATGCAAATGTGAGTAGATAAATAGGAAGCACTTTGGTGGGAAGGTAACAGGGTATCATGCACCTTGTCGTATAGTCATGCTGGCCACATGGTCACGGAAATGTCTTTGAACAATGTTGGCTCCCTCAGCTAAGAAACAGAGATGAGCACCACCCCCTAAAGTTGGATACAACTGGACAGGGGAAAACTTTTCCCTTCACATTTACTCCTGGACTTAAAATGTTTTGTTTAATGATGGTTCAAAGTTACGATGGCCTCAAAAAAAGTGACTTATGACCTGTCCTTAAAGTTACAACTATCATACAAACACCAGGGTCATGTGATTATAATTTGGGCAATTGGCAACTGCTTGCGTTTACAACAGTTGCAGCATTTTATGGTCACATGATTGCAATTTGTGACCTTTGTAGCCAGCTTCTGATAAGCAAATTCAATTGGGAAAGCCAGATTCTCTTAACAACTGCATGATTTACATTAACAACCAGATGAATCATTTAACAACCATGCTAAAAATGGTCATAAAGTTAGGTCTGATCATTAGATAATTTATTTATGACTACACTGACACATATTCTGATCCCAATATGGTTATAAATCAAGGATTTACCTGTATTGCCTTCTCAATATCTGAATAGGGACGGCAAAGGACAATTCTTATAGAATCCATTGCTCTCAAAGTATGAGCCTGCAAACAAAAGTGTGAAGTGGCAAAAAACAGAATCTGTGAACATTTTCACTTTGTTCCAGTTCTTGAAGCCTAGCTTTCTATTCATGCATCCTTTATAATTCCATTTCTGCTGTTTCCTGAGCAGTTCAGGCAGAAGTTGGAGAGAATAGAAGGTTGTAGTTGTATTTGGGGAAATAGTAATTTTACCTTTTACAGTTAGGGAATTCCATGGGAAATTTTGCTTTTTAAAAGGCTTTGAAAAGTTTTGTGGTAGCATCGAATGGTAGCATCATATCCCGAACTAATCTCCATCTTTAGCCACCTCTAATTATGGGGCAAAATCTGCTGCATAATTGGTTTTGAAACAAAGGATCTATAATAAATTTGGCATACCAAGCAGCAAGCCATTACCACTATCTTGTTTACTTTCCCACTGCTTAGTGGGCGTTATTAATCAGCTATATATTGCTGTGTGTCTGTGATAAATACTCTACAGCTTAATAACAACATTGTTTAGAAGTTCTTTGATTAGATTTGGAACTCAGTACAGATTGTCAAAGATAATAAGTTGACAGATAACTTCTTATAGATGGAAATTAATCCTTGGAAAATATACATATGTACTATTTAAATGCTTGTCAGCCTTACAGAGCTTTCTAGACAAAAGAAACTAGTGCCATGTTGGTCTAAAACTTTTATTACAATAGCTTTAGTACAGAATATTTCAAATCTGAATGTGCTTCCTCCTTCATTTTATCTTTGTATGAATTGGGGAGGGGGACTATCTGAAGTGTTTCTCAAGTTACCGTAGTTTCTGGGAAAGGACTCAGATCCCACTTGTCTGATTGTTGCCCTGGTAGCAGTTCTTCCAACTGTCCTCCAAAGCCATCTTCAATGGCCTCTTCAGTTCTTTGCAAGCAAAAGTTAGAATTCATATGTAGTTTATCTGTCTTAAATATGTGAATACTCTAATTTCTTTACATGTAACATGTTTCGGTCTATTTGTAGGCTATGAACTAAAAATCAACTTTATATTATTATTATTATTATTTTTTGCAGGGATGCTAGTAAAACTGCTAGTAGCCCACCTACATCCCCACGGCCTGGCACTGTAACAGCTATTCCATCAGCATCAACAAGCAACATGATACCACCCAGGCACCAAAAGCCTCCTGGTGCAGCAGCAACAAAAAAGAAACAGCAACAGAAAAAAAAGAAAGGTGGGAAGGGAGGCTGGTGATCAGGACAAGCAGCTGAAATTGCTATATTTTTTTCTTGTTATGACAACTATGAGCATAATAAAGGTCAAACAAAAACAAGGTGAATTTTTCAAAATTGTGTTTGGTCTCTAAATTTTTTAATAGAGAAAGCTTGTTTTTGTATTAGAATCCATTGCTGGGGAACTATTTATTTTTGAATTAACTGAACATTTCAAGGAGACATTTAACTAAATGGGGACTGAATAGCAATGCTAAGAAGGGAATTGAGTTCTGATTTTTTTTTTACTTGAAAATGTTTTTAAAATAATGTCTTTAGCTGATTTTTCCACAAGTTGACTGGCCAGTAACAACTACCATAGATTGTTAGATAGACAGTTTATGGCACTGAATAAAAAATAAAAAAGCCTGGAACTCCTACTGAGGTTCCATTCATTTCTATGACTTGAGTTTTGTTCCGATTATATCTTTGACCTTTTTCAAGTTTTTTTTTTTTAAGTTTGGAATGCTTCATGAATTTGTGTCCCCCCTTGCGCAGGGGCCATGCTAATCTTCTCTGTATTGTTCCAATTTTAGTATATGTGCTGCCAAAGCGAGCAAGACCTTTTTCAAGTTTTATTTTACTAAAATGCACCCAACTTAGAATATCAACAAAATAAATAACAAAGCTTGTGTATTGATAATATAAAAGGGAATCAAAATTGAACATAGATGACAAATGCTCAAAATGACTCCAAAATGAAAAAAAACCCAATAGATTTTACCTATAATACTGTCATCAATCATTTTACTGCAGTAACATTTTAAAATGCTACATCATGCTTTTGTATTTTACCAGTTTCTATATTCCCTAATTTTCCTTTTATGGACTATTAAAAGAGTACAAGCAATCCTCGACTTACGACCACAATTGAGCCCAGAATTCATGTTGCTAAGTGAGAAATTTGTTAAGTGAGTTTTGCCCCATTTAATGACTTTTTTTGCCACAGTTGTTAAGTGAATCACTAGTTGTTAAGTTAGTAACATGGTTGTTAAGTGAACCTGGCTTCTCCATTGATTTTGCTTGCCAAAAGGCCGCAAACGATGATCACATCACCCCGGGACACTGCAACCGTCATAAATATGAACCAGTTGCCAAGCATCCAAATGTAAATCACATGACCGTGTGGATGCTGCCACTGTCATAAGTGTGAAAAATTGTCTTGTCGCTTTTGTGAGTACTGTTGTAACTTTGAACGGTCACTAAATGAACTGTTGTAAGTCAAGGACTACCTGTAGTTGAATTATGCTTGAATAAGATACCCATCCAGTTTACAACAATAATTGTGTAGCTCTTGGCAAGTTCTAAACAAATTTTTTTTTTTAAAAAAAGGGGGTTGGAACAGAAGAGACAGAGGTTTATAAGCAACAATGCATCTTGCAATAGCTATGTTATAAGTAAAACAATGATGAACGTTGCAGAAGTATTTTAAACTTTTTTAATGTCTTAATTGGTAATGGCTTTTTCTTGGTGGGTAGAAAATATACACACTGAATGTGTTCAGAAAGAGCCTAGAGTCCTATGATCTGTATTCGCGCTCAGGCAATAGCATTGCTGGAACTCTTGAATCAAGTGGTAAAGCCATTCCTTGCCTAATTTAAAAGAAAAACAAAAAGAAACTGCGTACTAGTGCAGAGTCGGGAAGGCAAACGCCATGCCTTGCGCAAGTAAAGCAAGCCTTTCTTTGGCTGCCCAGAGCATCAGAGAGACGCTCTCACTTCTCCCTCTCGCTTGCTTGCTTCAGCGGGAATAACTGCTCCGTAAACGAGCGGAGAGGACAGTAGTGCTTTAGGTCCTAATTCCTACATGCCTGTTCACATAATACGAAGACTCCTCCGCTTGAAAGAAACCGCAGGAACCTTCCTTCCGGCACAGGCTGTTGTTGACCCAGCGGGGGCGGAGCCCCAACGAGAAGGGGCGGGCCTTGGAATTGGGCTCCGCCTTCGCACCGGACGGGAGCGAAGTAAACGTCGCCGATCTTGTCCCGCCCTGCCCTGCCCTGCCCTGCCCTGCCCGAGCTCTTTTCTCCCGGGGGTCATGGCGGGCAGCCTGCGGCAATTCGCCTTCGTGGGCACGGCGGTTGCCGTCACCGGTGGGGTCGCTTACGCCCTTTGGCGCAATTACCAATCCACCCAAGAGCCTCCGGGACGCGAAGATCAGCAGTCTCGGCTCCGGCTCGGGGTGCAAGAAGGAGGCACAGGCCCGCCGGCGGGACAGGTAGTGAACGCGTGGGAATTAACTTCCAAGGCTGCAAGTAGAGCCCCGTGCATTTAGGCACCGTTCTTGTCAGTAGAAGTCGAACGGGTAAAACTCTAATTACTTGTAATTTTTTTTTGCTTTAAAAAAAATGTGAAGTGTTTGCTGCTTCTCCCTTCTCAAATGGAGTTCAAGAAGAATGGTTCTGGAGGGAACTGTGTTTCTGGGACATTTTTCCTAATCTCATTATAACTGTTCTGGTCGGAAAGAGGAAAGCTGCGGGAACAAAACTAATTCAACATCTACTTTCTGGAAAACCTTGCAAAAGTGTTTTTCTTTTAAAAAAAGATGATGGTTGTTGGTTTAAATTTAAAGTTAGGTGCTGGGTTGAAATATGGGAGAGTCAGCCTCCTGGAAGTCAGAACATTTGCTCCTGGGTAAAAGTACAGGTGGGATCAGACCACACTGTTGATGGGAGGTTATAAAAGAAGAATTAATCGAAACAAATCTTCCTTTATCCTGCCTTGCTTAGAATCTGCCGGTTTGATTTTGGTTCCAAGAGTCACTCGAAACAAATAATCTGTAAAAGTTTTTGTAAGGCATAATTTTGTAAGGTATAATTTGTAAGAATTTTAAAATAGATTTAATTGGGGAATTATATGAAACTAGATTAAATTTATTTAAATTAATTTAAAATTTTAATTAATTAGATTAATTGGGGAGTAAATGTGTCAATATACCACTATCCTAACAGGATAATTGGTGTTCGGGGATCTGCTAGTTAGGTTCAGCATTAGAAGAGCAGGTGTTGAAAAATATGGCAAGAAGTTACATTTCAACTCTGGTTTCCCATTAATTTTTCCAGTGGAGACATTTATTTCTATTATTGTTGGATCCTCATCTGTTGGAAATTGTTTGGGTTTTGCCTCAGGCCTTGGAAACAAAAACAATTCTTGCATCTCAATGTTCCACCAAAGATGATCATATCACTTTGTTTTTCAACGATACTCTTGTTTGCAGCCTTGATTACAACTTGATTCCATTTGAAGATTTTTTTTTAAATAAGGAGCTACTAAAAAGTTATATATCAACTAGTAGTTTTTCTACTCTAGGTAAATTTATACAAACTTAGCTTTTGGAACAAATACATTGAGGAAGAAAAGCGGTCAAGACTGTAACTCTAGATTTTGTAAGCTCTTGATACCTTTTAATTATCCGAAGGCAGACATAAATCTTAACCATTACAGATTTATTTATCTTTTTGAGATCATGAAAGGCTTAGATAAAATCAGTCGGGTAGAATCCTATTAATGCAGAGTGGAAAGAGATAAGAATAGAAACCTTCCAGAGGGCTAGCCCTCCTTTGTTTTACCTTGGTATCTTAGCAATTTGAATGCTAGATCAACTTAATAGTGAGCCATTTGGAATTGTTTGTTTCATTGCAGTTGTGTACCCATATAATATTCGTCGCTTGGTAATTAATGTTCTTAGCAATATTCAGCTTCTTAAGATCTTCCCAATGAAATGAAACTCCAGAAGATTAAGCTTAGTATCATTTATCACACATATTGTGTGATTAAAAAGCATCATATGAACAAGATCCCAATACTCTTTAAGGCATTTTTAACAACCCTAGAATCTTTGTCCATTTTTCCAATCTTTGTCAGAGTGACTTTTCTTTTTTATTTTTTGAGTCTCTTAATTCACAGTTACATGAGTAAAATTGTGTTGTTCTAGCAGACAGACTAATGAGATTAAGTCCCTTATTGTTATAATAAAAGGTAAAAAGTAAAGGAACTCCTGCGGATTTTATTTCACTATAGTCGTTGCCGACTATCAGGGCAATGCTCATCTCTGCTTCAAGGCCATTGAGCCAGCACTGACGAAAGACATTTCTGTGGTCATGTGGCCAGCACAATATCATGGGGTGCTGTTACTTTCCCACTGATGTGGTACCTATTTATCTACTTGCATTTGCATGCTTTTGAACTGCTCTGCTTTCTAAACAAATTTATGCTGTTTTATCTGATCTTATTTTATATATGTGCGTCTGTAAATAAAGGCAGGATAAAAATAAAACAATTGTTAACTTTCAAGGAATCTTAATTGACCCTTTGGGTGGGAAAAGTACAGTTATCCTGTCAAAAATAGAAAAACAAGACTATAAGCACAATTTAAAAGCTGGTAATTAGTGGTTTTTTTAGCATATAATAGCAAAAAATGTCCCTAAACATTTGCAAGAATTACTGCAATTGAACTGGAACTAGTTCAGTTCTGAATGACTTGCTTTGTTTTTATTTCCCATCTTTATTATTTTTATAAATAACTCAACATAGCAAACATGTCTAATACTTTTCCATTCTATTTTCCTCACAACAACAATAACTCTGTGAGGTGAAGTGGGCTGAGAGAGGGAATGACCGGCTCAAAGTCACCCAGCTGGCTTTCGTACCTAAGGCAGGACTAGAACTCACAATCTCCCTGTTTCTAACCTGGTGTCCTAACCACAAGATCAAACTAGCTCTCGGATTACTTCCATTTTTTAAAATAAAAATTGATTAAATAAATTCTGCCTAAAGAGCCGTGGTGGCTCAGTGATTCGAATGCAATACTGCAGGCTACTTCTGCCTGCCGGCTGCCTGCAGTTCAGCAATTCAGTTCTCACCAGCTCAAGGTTGACTCAGCCTTCCATCCTTCTGAGGTTGGTAAAATGAGGAGCCAGATTGTTGGGGGCAATATGCTGACTCTGTAAACTAGTTAGAGACAGCTGTAAAGCACTGGGAAGTTTTACTGGGAATATATAAATCTAAGTGCTATTGCTAAATGAATCTACATCTCTCCTAAAATACTGTGTGTATATTGAGATACAACAATCAACAAGAGTGCACTTTGGCTAGAATCAATGACATAATTTTCTGGACTAGTAAATAAATTGTGATTTAAATAATTAAATTGAATCTTCCTAAAAAGGAATTATAAATTGAATCCCCCATTCTTCTGAACAAGAAATTTGTTAGTTTAATAATTTTGATAACATGACAAGTGCTGGATGCTTCGTTATCAGTTCAAGAGTATCAGTGCCTCTTTCTACCTAGGGAAAAATAAATCAATTCTCAGCTGTAGCTCAAATAGATACAGTAGAAGCCAGATTGATATTTTTGATAATCCTAGACCAGTGATGGCTAACCTTTTTGCCATCGCGTGCCAGGAGGGGGGGGAGGGTCGTGCACGCACATGCATGCGTGCGCTCCCCCCCTCCTGGCACATGATGGCCTGGTAGGCCCGTTTTTCTTTCTTACCTGGTTCCAGATCCTCTCTGTGTATCTGGGAAGGGTGAAAACAGCCTTTCCCACTCCCTTGGATGCCCTACGGAGGCTGAAAGGGCCCATTTCCCAACTCTCGGTGGGACAGGAAGTGACATTTTTTGCTGTCCCCAGCCTCCAGAACCTCTCTAGGAGTCTCTCTAGGAGCCTCTCTAGGAGTCTCTAGGAGCCTCTCTAGGAGTCTCTGGAGGCTGGGGACAGGAAAAAACATCACTTCCTGTCCCACCAGGAGTCGGGAAATTCTCAATTCAGCCTCCGTAGGGCCTCCAAGGGAGTGGGAAAGGCTGTTTTCGCCCTTCCCAGATACACAGAGAGGATCTGGAGCCAGGTAAGAAAGAAAAACGGTCCTTCCCCACTCCGCCCCCAGGCCCTCCAGAGGCAGGAAACAGCCTGTTTCCCTACTTCTGGTGGGCCCAGAAGGCCTGAAAATCAACTGGCCGGCGCGCGCATGCGCCCCAGAGCTGAGCTGGCGTTCCCACTAATATGGCTCCGCGTGCCACCTGTGGCACGCGTGCCATAGGTTCACCATCACGGTCCTAGACCCTGAGGAGCCTGAGTGGCTTAGGAGGCTAATGCCTCCTACTAAGGCAGCATTTAACATCCAGCTGCCTGCAATTACTGTGAGTTCAATTCTCACCAGGCTCAAGGTCGACTCAGCCTTCCATCCTTTCTAAGGTGGGTAAAATGAGGACCCGGTTTGTGGGGGCAATAAGCTGACTGTATAAAAATAAACAAAAGTATGAAGGCTATTGCTTAACGCATTGTAAGCCGCCCTGAGTCTCCGGAGAAGGGCGGCATATAAAAATGGAGAAAAAAAAATTAGACCAAATCAACAGGACTTTTCCATCTGGCATTGTTCAGTTGTTTAAAAAATGGTTTTACTTTTTCTTCTTTGTGTGGTTGCTATTCACATGTATAATAACTGACAAATAATTTTGTATTTGCATGTAAACCAGCCTAGTTTATTGTTCACAAGTAGCTCTGTTTCCTGTTTCCTCTACTATTTTGTATCTGGCTTTACTATGGATCTCTACGAAAAGTTTCCATTATGAGATGGCTATCAGTAACTGCTATTCTTATTGATAGAGGGAAATCCAAAAGTCTGTTCTCTTTGTTGGCTGGTTACATGCCGTGGAGGCAAATTAATGAAGGAGGCCATTTTTGCTTCAGTTGCCTTTCCAACATCCTAGTATCTTTTGCACATCCATTCTTCATACCTTTATAATATTTGCCCTTATTGGCTGAGGCCTATGGAATTTTGATTTAAAGGTAGATTGAAAGATTTTAGATTGAGAAGACTGGTTTGTCTGTTTTGATATGTTACTGTTGATGGATTTGGTAACCATTATGATTTTTTAGGATGGGAAACATTTGACCCTCTGGATTTTGTTATTATATGTTTGATTTGTTAAGGCAGCCCAAATTCCAAGAAGACTGGATTTGAAGAGCTATAGCTCAAAGCATCCTTGGTTTTATTGGCTGCCAGGACTTGAAGTTTAGTAACCACTAGAGCAGGGATGTCAAACTGGTGGCCTGCGGGCCATGCCCACCTAGCTCCGCCAATGGGGAAAATGTCATGAAAAGTCACGTGACGGCAATGTGACATGGCAAGTTTGACATCCGTGCACTAGAGGATCACCAGATACCTATCTCAGCTGTAAATTATAATATCAGTATAATTTTCAGAGTAATATGCATATTTTGGATAGCTGTTTATAGGCTTGTCTGTAATTATAGTCCATTTATGTAGCTTTCTAATGTCCAGATTTCTAGAAGAACTTTTCTGCTTTTACGTGTCTGCTGAGAACTCTTTAATTATCTGCCAACCCACCTAGCTACTCCAATTAAGATCAGAAACAGTGAACTACCATTCAACAATTGCTATAACAACATTTGGAAAATTAGCTATTTCAGTTTCTAAACACCTTTTGTCACTTGTAACAATTTTATGTTGAAGTAGCCAAAACAAATCTAATTAGAACATTTGATAGGTACTTACATTGAATAATGTAACTATGCTGACCTGGAATTCTAGCCCAATTTATATGTAGTCGGTATAATATATATGGTCAGTCACTAGTAAGTAAAGTTGACCACATAATCATCACTCCATTATTTTATTTGTTCAAATGTCTACTAAATAACTGTCTTTTCTGATAATTGTTTGGTCTTGTATTTTGTAGGATAAACCATCCAACAAGCAAATATTGGTTCTAGGCTTAGATGGGGCTGGAAAAACCAGTGTTCTCTATTCACTAGCAACTAACCATGTAAAGCGCAACACAGTTCCCACCAAAGGTTTCAATGCAGTGTGTGTCAATACAGAGGAAACAAAGATGGAATTCCTAGAAAGTAAGCATATCTAATTTATAAGAAACATTTTTTTAAAAAAATCATCTATTTTATGTCTTCTCAACGAAACAGTGCTGTAAAAATCTCCCCCTCCATTTCCCTGATAAAATACTGGGTATGTTAAAGTTTTGTTTCCAATAAATATAATTGCTTTATATAAGCCAATACAATATATCTAGTAAAATTAAGCTATTTTCTTCATTGAACTAAAATACTAGGAATACTTTAAAATGTGTTATAATAATTACCGGTATGTTACCTTTGTATAATTATTACAAAAAAGGCATACTATTGAAGATAGGAATTATAAAACTCAGTAGATTATATCCTGTTGGGTCTTGATTCCTATACTTAGCTTTTTACTTTTAAAGGGTTAAACTATGGAATGAGGGGAAAAGTTTAGAAGAATATGATTTGGGTCAAACAAGGTTTTATTTTTACACACACACATTCAATTTAAAAACTGCTGTGTCATAAGATCCATCCCAACGTTTGGTATTATCATTTTTTATTCTATATCTTAATTCCAGTTGAATGTGTGTGCTTTAACCTTAGTGTTTTTCTGCTATATTTTGAATTATGCTTGATAAATTTTGGGAAGATTTTCTATCATGTACTTCAGCATTTCTGTGAAATGAGTATGAAACGCAGCTGCCTTCTGTTGAAAGTTTTACTATGCTGATGGGAGTTTTAATTGATAATTGCTGATTGTTTTTCTATATTATTGATTTACAGTTGGGGGCAGTGAGTCTTTAAGAGAGTATTGGAAGATGTATATGCCGAGAGTCCTGCTGCTGATCTATGTTGTAGACTCAGCAGATCATGAACGCTTCCCAGTTGCAAAAACACTTCTTCATCAGTTGGTCCAGAATAATTCTACGTTGCCAGTAATGATTCTAGCCAATAAGCAGGTAAATATAAACTGTAGAACCCAGAGCAGAAATGGTACCTTTCTGGTGAGTGTGTGAGAAACCTTAATTCTATAACAAGAGTATCATTCAATAATTTCTGTAATGGTTCAGTGCAGAAAAAAAAGGATCAGTTTCACCTGTGACACAGAGTTGTGGTCATTGGTTATAATCAATTTGTCTTATTAATGGTATCGCATTATTATTTACGCTGTTCTGTAAGTAAAATTAATAGTTTGGTCAAACCAATACTTTGGTTTTCATTTCTAGCAAAATATGAGCCCAGCAGTTCTCGATCAAAGTCAGCAGCCTAGCTACTATACTACTGTATATCATGATGCACTAATAGTATATGGTTAGGTAGCATTGTTTGTTTGTTTTGTGACTTCAACTCAAGTCTTGATGACTGGTGACCATCTGGTCTAGTCCCTATAGTTTTCTTGCAAAGATTTTTTGAAGGTAGTTTTCTTCTTAAAGTTTCTTGGGATTGAGAAGAATAACTGGCCAAGCTGACCCAGCTAAGCTTTATGCCTAAAACTGGACTAAAATTCATGGTCTCCCAGTTTCTAGCCTGGTGCGTTATCCACTACACCAAACTGGGTCTCCATATAGGCGCATAGTAGTAGGACAGGACAGTGGCTTCAAATCCCTGACAAGCTTTCTGACCCATGTTTTACAGACCACCTGTACTTACACATGGCAAAACATATGTGATTTCTATCTATAAAACCTAAATACTGTATTCTCTGGTATCATTACTGTAGTCTGGATTATTTAAATCTGGAAAATCATTGGACTTTATCTCAAAGTTAAAGAGACAATTGTTGAGACAAATGTCACGATGTGATAGCATTTACTAAGATATTTGCCAAAGACAGCTAACAGTAGCGTGTTAGGTAATGTTTGGTCTTCAAAAGTTTCCAGCTTCCATTCTAATATTTTTCCTAGTTGTCTCCTGGTGGAATGAGCAAATATATTCTAAAATCCTGTAAAATGTATTTTTTTTTATAGTGCAGTTTACCTTCTAAGTTACTTGGATTCTGCTTTTGTTAGTAGTTGCATGCAGGTAGTCCTCAACGTACAACCATTTATTTAGCGACCATTCAGAGTTATTGCGGCCCTGAGTTATGCTCACACTTACAACAGTCATACAGTGTCTCTTGTGGTCACATGATCAGAATTAGGGCCCTTGGCAAGCGGCATAGATTTATGATGGTTGCAGCACCCCAGGGCCATATGATCACCATTTTTAACTTTCTGATGGCTTCTGATAACTAAAGTCAGTGGGGGAAGCCAGATTTGCTTCGCTTAATGAACTCATTGATTCGCTCAATGACCACAGCAAAAAAGGTTTTAAAATAAGGTGTGGTTCACTTAAGAACTGCCTCACTGAACAAGAAGTCTCAAATGTGGTCATAAGTCAAAGACTATCTGTGGCCAATAACAGCTTTCAAGCAACTCTCAAATACCAATAGAGAGAGCCTCTTCTGATTCAGATGTCCAAGAGAAGTAAAGGTTCAATGTTATCTAAAAACTGATGACAAATTTTTTTTTTGATAAATATCAAAATTATCATCTCAGCAGCTTCCTACAGCGGTAAAGAGCAGCAGAGAAAGAATAGAAACTTGTGAGGTCTCGCAATACAAATGCTGAGCAGAAATCATCTACTGTCAATCTATGGGGGCATTATTGCTGCAGATAGGAAAGGAGCCATATAAATATAGAGAGATGAAGTGGATAGGGAAAAGACAAATAAGAGAAAAGACAATAAAAAGAATAGAAACTCAGATGATGCCTAGGGAAATGGAAAAGGGGGAAGGGGGGAAAGAAAAAAAGTGTTATTATAAAAGTGTACATGAATGATAAAACAGATGTAATTATTAAACAAAAAAGAATTTGAAATGAAGATATATGTAAATAGAAAATCAGGGTTGCTCGAATACCATTCTAGATTAAATTGAAAATGGATACAACAAAGGATTGGGAAAGGAGAGAGGAATAGAAAGAGGGAAGGAGGGGAGACGAGAGGAAAGAGAGAGGGATAGAAGAGGGAAAAGGAGAGGAAGAAAAGGGAGGGGAAAGAAGAGTAGGAGAGAGGGTTAGAAAGGGAGGAAGAAGAGGAGTGGGGGAAGGGGAGGGGAGGTAGAAGGGGAGGAGAGGAAGAACGAAGAAAGTAGAAAGGAACAGAAGAAGGAAGAGGATGGAAGAAGAGGAGGAAAGATTGGTAAAACAAAGAAGAGGAAATGGTAAAAAGCAGTCCCGAACAAATAAAAATGAAAATTAAAGGATAAGATGAATGATCAATGATTAATGATGGATAAGAGACTGTGCACTTAAATATGTTTATGAGAAATAAAAATAAAAAATTTTATGGAAAAGAAAAAAAGGAAAGGATCCATCCATCTCCTCTGTATTATTTTGGTGGAATCTACTTACTTATTTTCTCTTTTAAGATAGTTGCTAATCAGTAAAATTATAATAGCAATATGCAAAAAGCAAATCCATCTAGTCAATTTACAAGTCATGTTATCAAACCAATAAGAAAAACAAGGAACCTTGAAGCAAGGTATCTATCACATACAAAAAGTCTTATGCCATATTTAGATGATTAATCAAGATTAATTTTGCTTGACTCTCATTTGGGGTTTAGTTTCTCAGCGGGGGGGGGGGCAGCAATAAAGGACTACCCTTTTGTGTTTTGTCTTACAGGTAAGAACTGTGAACTTAGAACTTGAAACTGAAAAGATCCAGGCAGATAACCTTTCTTTACCACAAGGCTTGCTAGCTGATTTTATCTTTTCTGACACAAAAAAATCTGTACAGGACCAGTTAAAATGCAGGTGTAGGCTAAGTTGTCACAGGGTTCCATTGTGCACAAAGAAAAGGATTGCATTAAGCACAAGCCTTTTGAAGATGGGATCAGTTGCTCCAGACTTCAGAGATAAAACAGATGGAATAGTAATTGAAATGATCCGATACTGTTCAACAGAGGACAAAGTAATATTACAGCATTTTAATCCATTAGGATATTCAATTACAGAATTTAAAATTGCTATCTTAGAGCAATCCAATTTCTCCAGCATCATACAGCAAGAGACTGCTGAATTCATATCCATCAAAAGGCTATCTCAGAGAATCTTATCAAACACAGTGGGTTTTTAATCTTTTATATGTGTGTCAACACACACTTTCAGTCATTGTTAACTGCTGGTTACTGCCTGAATTAGTCCTTGCAGTTTTCTTTTGGCACTAGTTTGCTATTATTTCCTTTGTAGGGCTGAAAGAGAAAAGATCATCTTGATTTTTATTCTTTCAGGAATAAAGCTAATAAATTTAAATACCACCCTGAGAAATATTTCAGTATGTACTGTCACTTATAAGTTCAATGGAAAAAAACCATCGGGAAGATTCCCTTCAGAAAAGATTTCATGTAAGGAACATTGATCTTATACGGGAAAGTTAAATAGAGTCAGATCTGGTTAAAACTTGGATGATGTACCCTCAAGAAATTGCAGCAATGTAGATTGAAAAGAAATAATGGAAGAAGACAAGTGTTTCCATATTGCATCTGTATCTAAATAGACAACAGATATGAAAGCTAAGATTTGGAGAGAATTTCCTACAAGTTTGTTGGATTTCTTATGCATCTACCACTGTCCTACAGATCTCCCCCAGTGCTTGAACAACAGAGAAATGCTGCTTCTGGGACATGATAGCAAGAGTGGCCCAAATGTCAGCTGTAAATTTGGTCTTTTTTGAAAATTAGTCTAATTAATTAAACTAATTTTAATTTAGTTTACTTATATCTAGTGTGAAGAAACCATCCCATGAAAAGCTTGTATAATAGAATAATAAATTCTTTGCCCCTGGGAATATTGTTTCTTCAGAATTTTACTAGGTGTTTTGACAGGTCTGTGAACGAGATTATTGCAACCCTGCTTTAAAAAAGCCAAACTGAATAGATTAATATGTTTCTTTCTTTTGTCGGACAGGATCTTGCAGATGCATATTGTATCACAGACATTCATGACGCTTTGGCTTTATCTGAAATTGGAGACGAAAGGAAGATATTTCTGATTGGCACACATGTGGCAAAGGAAGGCTTAGAGATCTCTTCCGGCTTGAAAGATACCCGGGAACTGATTACACAGCTGGTGTCAGAAATTCTGTGATAATGAGACGGAATGGAATGCCATAATAGGGGACATGCAATAGCAACTATGAGTAGCGTCTCTTCTAATCTTGATGGCGATCAAACCCCAGATACAGAATTGCTATGAAAATGGTTTTGAAATGGAAAGAAATGATGTTTTGTTTAGAAGTGCTTTAGCAGAAAAGAAGGGTAGTACGCTCTGAGAGCCCAACATTTCTATATATAATATGTATTTCTTTTTCTAGGTTTCATATTTGATCACTCCTTCAATTTCAATGCATATTTCTGTGTCAGCTTTCCTTTAAAAAAAAAAAAAACTATTGTGTAGCATTTCAGAGGAGGCCAAAGTTTCTAGCCTGGCTAAATACTGATTATCTCTTATATATAGGGCATAGAGAAAATATTATACCTTATGAGTGTTTTAGGGACTAGAGATTTCATGTTCAAATAACTGTAGAGGTTATAAATTATTTTCATACTTGAGAAAAATTTAATGGAATATATACCTATACCTATACCTATTCCTGATCTTTCTTTGGGACACTCCAAGGAAGAATAATTAAGCAGAACTACTCCACAGTTTTCTTAGTATTATCTCAGTTTTGTTCATTAACAGTATTGCTGAATTCAATCCTGGAATTAAAAAAATAGGATATAGTATTGATACTTTGGACTTTGAAGTTCGAGGAGGCCTCTGGAAATACGATTAGACAAGAAAACAAATTTATGGTTTACAGAAAAATCTAAAGCCCTCACTTGAGGCACAAATGACCAAATTCAAATTCTATTTTAAACATAAGATGGACCATTGAGAAGTCTATAATGCTGGAAAATGTTGAGGAAAAAAGACGATAATTGGCAGCAAAGATGATGGACTTGATTACAGAAGTGATTGGGCACCATTGGAAGGTCTAAATGTTAGGGACAGAAAACATCCTGGAAAAAGTCTAGGAGATACAAACATCTTAATCTCCACTACCTGTAAACTGCATGCCCACATTTCACCAACTTAAGTATGTGTTCAGTTAGCATCTCCTTTAAAATTTGGTTCTACCAATTTCTTCACTAATGTTTATTTACTGTTTAATCCCTCAGAGTCATATTTCTAAAATTAAGAGAAATGAGATCTTGTTCAAAACTGGCTTTTCAATCAAATGACCAAATTCCAAGGCCAGTATTAATAATAGGAGGAGATTTTAATGGTAGCATAGGAGCCAATGAGACCGTGCTCCAGCATTTTAACATCCCAGACTTCTGCCTAATCGGGTTGGTTCATTGGAAATCTAAAGATAAAAAACATTGATATGGAGAATGAGAGAGAATTGATATGAGAATGAATAGAGAGGGGTTTGCTTCAATTGATAAAATTTGCCCTGAAGGTCTTCATAGGTCTACTCCAGGTGATAGGGTAAACTCACCTTTTTGGGACTCTAGAGGAACTTGTGTTGTAGAGTTCATGCTGATTTCTGAAGATTCAGTCCCTTACTGTTTAAATTTTAGTATTAACTTCCATCTTGACAGTAATCACTTATCCATTAATAGATTCCTTTTCCTTGAGTCTACAGAATGAAGACAACTGCCCCTCAATTTTGCCCCATCTGCTTTGTCACTCATCTGATAGGTACCAGACAATACAGTCTAGTACAGTGTTTCTCAAAGTGTGATCCTTTCAGGAGTCTGCAAAATCAAAATTATGTGACAGTTTATGTTGAAAAACAATACGCTTATTAAAATGCCATCAAATGAAATGAAGCAGTTAACAGTAGCACATGTCCATTTTAATTTTTAATACAGTAAATGTTGATGAATGTAATCTGTGCAAGTAACAGCTATTTTGGGGTTCTTTGTAAGTTTTAAAAGTGAGAAGGAATCCTGGAAAAGAAAGTAAGAAACACTACTAAAATGCTGCAACCTAATTTCTTAAATTGTAGATCAACCATTTGAAACAAATCATTGGTACAATCAAGGATACTTCTAACATTTTTTGCCACTGTTCAAAAAAGTGACTGATTTACCTTAGAACTGCCTAATCAAACTCCAACCCATTGTTCAAATAAACAACCCAAACCTTGGTTTGTAAGAATAGTGTTCGAGTGAAGGGTATATTAACCCAGTTTATAGAAGTGCTCAGTTTGGCAATGATTCTCCCTATCATGAAACATTTCTGGTAATAAAAGAATGGTGAAAAAATTCCTTAGAGAGAAAATACAGTACTATGCATTAATGAGATAGAGTTCCAACAGGCAGTAATTAATAAGGATGATTGTTCTGGCATCTAGCACTGATCCCAGTGCTAATGACTTCATATTTTTAGAATAAAGACAAAATATTTTGGTAACTTACTCTGCACCCTTTGGTAGTAATTCTCTTGGCTCACCATATCTGATCCATACCCAGATTGGTCCCCAGCTTCACACAAACAGAGATCTAAAACTGATTTTCTTGGTTTAAAAATGGTACACCCCAGGTAAAAATAGGATTATGCCAGAATGGTTGAAAACAAATCCTTATTGGTGGGTCTCTGTATTAATTCTCCTACTTAGTGCCATTAATAATTCTTCAAGTAAGAATTATTATACAAGTAAGGTGATGGGCAAAACCAATTAATTATTGCCTAATTAAATTAATGCCAGTAATTAGTAAATTCTATGCTCAATTTTTGACTATAAATGTTTATAGACTCTATGTATTCGGAGAATATCTTGGCCCTGTGATGGCGAAACTATGGCACATGTGCCAAAGGTGGCACGCAGCGCCCTCTCTGATGGCACATAAGCTATTGCCCCAGTTTAGCTCCACTGCACATGTGCACATGTGCCTCCCGCCGGCCAGCTGGTATTCGGATCTCTGCCGTGCATTTGTTGGGTGTGGGGGAGGGCACATGCGCATGCGAGGTGGGGTGGGGCACTTGTGCGGGGACTGCACATGCATTGCATTTTGGGGGTGCAGGGGTGCGCATTCAGGCGTGCATGCGCTTTGGGAAACTCAGTCCGGAAAAGGTTAGCCATCACTGTCTTAGCCCCTGAACTAGCATACTTTGGATCAGGATATTCCACCATGGATCAGTGTGCAATTCTGCACCATTTGGCTGAAAAGTATTCCTAGCCTAATGTTGCTCTCATTTAGGCCCTTGAGAGAGTCTATGAGGAAATTACCTGTAGCAAGCATCCATTGATCATCACTTGTCAAATTGATAATTTTGCTACATCAAAATGCAACACAGGTTAGAGGCAATCGTAATGGCAATTTAACAACTCTGTCCACAAAGAGGTCAAACAGTGCTGTAACCTTGACCCCTTGTTTAACTTCTGTATAAATGACATTGATGTAGCTCTTTTTAAACCAGAGTGCCACTGCTCCCAACACCTGCCCACTAACTTATTTCAATCCTCTTGTACACAGATGATACATCCATCTTACCTGTAATTCAAAAAGCGTTCATAGATGCCTAGGTGTTACAATGTCCTGTTCTAGGGAATTTCTTGATATCAACTACTATACTCTCGAGTTTAGGTATCTTTAGAATACATCTTAAGTCCCTTGTTAAATGGAAAATTAACCAGTTGATTAAGTCAAGAGTGAAGAGGAAAAATAAGAGGCAGTTGAGGGTGTTTTATTATAATGCCTGTTTTACAGGTCCTGCATGCTGGCTTAATTCTCCTGTGCTAAATGTTCTATCAGACAAGATAAGCATCTCATATCTGAGCTCTGGTACCAATGTTACTCAATAGCTCTATTTTGTTCTGTTAACTACAGTATGAAAATCTGCTCTGGGCTGACATCAATAAACTGGAGTTATCTATACAGGGTTATACAAATAACCTTTGATTAACAAGGACAATTCTGGCACTCCAGTTGCTGTGGTTAAGGAAATCATTGCAATCATTAAGCAAGGACATCACACGGTTGCCATTTGTAACCTCCTGCCAGGTTCCCCATTGCTTTGTCGGAAATCAGCAAATAAAGTTACAAGTGCTGACCGCCTGAGTGCAGGATGCTAAACTGGTAGGAATTTCAGGACTAGGCAAAAGTACCACTGTTCAAATGGCTGCTAAATAAGGGTTGTTAAGCAGGAAGCACCTTAAACATCCACTAGACTACCAATCATGCCACTTTGTTCCATTTGTAACAAATATACCTTGGTTCCACAAGCTATAAGCTCACGGTGACATTTTATTTTAGTTTTACAAACATTAAAAATTTTGATATATTTTAGATAGCTCATTGTTCTTATCTCCTATTTTTATATTGTATTATATAATTTATTTGCCATGCTGTCTCATGGCTTTGTATTTCTGTTAGTTTCATTGATTGGTCATTTAATAATACTAGTAGTCTTAATATAAATTCCTTGAAGAATTAAGAGTGTCTTGAAAAGTTTAAGTACCCCATATAACATTGGGATAGCGTCTTTATTTTTCTTACATTATATGTTTTGTTTTTATTGTTGTAATAACTTTATAGTCCACTCAGAAAAGTTGTGGTCAAAGCTGTTTGTGAAAAGATGAATCTGGCTTTGTGATTACAAGGTCTCAGCCAATTCAGATGCAATACCAAGCACCTTCTTTTTTTGATTTTCACATAACCAGCTGTCACTTTTAAAGCATCAGCCAGAATGACCCAAGAGGTCAAAACCCAATCTTCAAAAATGGGTTGTCATCTTTTAAAATAGCGTGGTAATGTTTTAAAACAGTTCCTCCACCCAGTTTTCTGTCTTAAGACTGAAAACCTGGATATTTCAGTGTAAAAGTGCCCCTATGAATTGGGGGCAGGGACAATTAATGGGAAACATTTCCTGTGAAATATTAACGGTGGAGAAAGGGTGGTATTAATCCTCTCATTCTTTGCTTCACTGTGACATTATTATCTTTCACAACTTATAATGGCTTTGCCTGGAGAAACTTAGTGGCTCCTGTGATCTAGTCCCATTCAGTATCATTGCAATTTTCAGCAGAGGTATTTTCATCAATGCAATAAAATTCATTTAAGAAATATTTGGTGGTGGTAGTAGTGCCAAGTTACATTGACATTGGCAAGAAAATGTAACACAAGACACTGCTTTTGCTTTTAAAACAAGATAAAAAAACTTTTAAAAATTTTTGTAAGAATAAAAATTTTACCAAACTTTTCTAGAAATGTTTTCTGTTTGAATGTGAAAACTTTTTTTTTAATTAAATCAGAATATTTTTCTTTAATTGTGCATTTTACTGACATAAAAGCAGAAGTGGGTTTCAGCAGGTTCTGACCTGTTCTAGAGAACCGGTAGTAAAAATTATGACTGGCTCCACCCCCATCTATTCTCTGCCTCCCAAATCCCAGCTGATTGGGAGGAAATGGGGATTTTACAGTAAACTTCCCCTGGATTGGGGATGGAATGGAGATTTTACAGTATCATTCCCGTCCCACGCCCACCAAACTATGCCACGCCCACCAAGCCACATTCAAAGAACCGGCAGTAAAAATTTTTGAAACCCACCACTGCATAAAAGTATTGTACCATGTTCCCTGCAATGATCACTTCTTCTTTTTACTAAAATGAATGCATCCTCAAGGTGATAGAAATGTCTTGACTTCCTTTCCTTGGTTTTCAGATTTTTAGAGCAGTGTTTCTCAATCCCAGCAAATTTTAAGTCATGTGAATTTCAACTCCATGGTTGCATATTGACTGAGGGATTCTGGGAGTTGAAGCCCATGTGGCTTAAAGCTGCTTAGATTGAGAAACGCTTGTTTTAGAGGCACTGCAAACAGACGGATGGTAAATATTCATGTTAAGATGTATTAACAGAGGGAAGGAAATAATTAGAATAAAATAATTGCACAGAATCCTCTTGCATAGAAAAGCAATTAGATCGAAGGCCGAGCCGAAGTGACTGGACTGTTTGCACTGTTAAAAATAACACCAGGGCAGATCCTACGCGCCCTCCCGCGGCACAGAAAGTAAGTTCAAAGAAAGAGAAACAACCGGCAGTGATTCCCCAGGTTGCCGTGGCGACGGAAACAAAGAAGAACGCAAGGTGCGCTCTCGAGCACCCGCTTTTCTACAGCTGCAAGCTGAGGCTTGAGTTAGGAGAAGCAGGGCTATTCATATCGCGCAGGATGATCGAGCCACGAGCCGGTCAGTAAAGGGGACACCGTCTAAAGCGCCACCGTCTTTCCGGGTAGAACCTGCCCTCTGTTGGGCATTGCAATTATGACACCTCGCAGAATGAGATCCAGCTATTCACAGAATGGATTTTCGCGGGAGGGGAAAGCAGAGAGACTATTTTTTTTTACTTTTGATTTAAGAAAAAAAAGGGGGGGGCTTGAAGGGAAAGCTATCATCGCTATCGTGGCTAAATAAGTCCCTCTCCCTTATTTTCTTCTTCTTTGTTTAAAGATAATTAGATTGTACTGATTCCACTGCAAGGGAGCACTTTGCACAGCTGGATGGATTTTATGGAGACCATCTTTTATTTTATCACTTGAGCGTACCTGTCATTTCTCATTGTTTACAAATGGATGCAACAAATGTATTTAATGCTGCACTTAAATGCTATTATACTTAAAACCAATTTTGTAAGTTTCTGAAAATCCCATTAATAATTTGCTTATCAATCCACATGATGCTCATTTATTTATTTTTTACTCTTTGTGAATTTAGGAAAGCCAGGAGCAATGCTAATACTTTTCTGTGCAAGCTTTGTCTTCTGAAATCTAGAGATAACAGCTAGTCTTTTTATTTCTTTTATTTATACCCATGTACTATTTAATTTTTTTATTGCTGCAATAGCTAGAATTTATATTTCACATGGAACTGCCCTTGCTACTTAACCACTAACTGGTAATTAACTAAATAAAATAGTTCCCACCCCCATCCCCCTGTGGGCAGCCATCCAGAAAATCCTTTAGAAAATAAATTTATTGGGCCTCACATTTCAGAACCAATATAGGAAATAGTTTTATAGTAGCCAAAAATTCAGAGATTGGTAGCACCCTTTCTGACTTAACAAATTTTATTAAAAGGCAGTAGGTTTTGTGAACTGCAGTTCATTACAAAATTATTAGAACAAAAACAATAAAAACCAAAAGAAAAATACATACATTTGTTCATTAAACAAAGCCCTTATTTCTGCATTATATGAGATATCTGAAAGTTTAAGATAATCGTAATTCCTAGCATTCCAGAATATATTACTATAGTTTAGACTGCATTTGGCATTTTTATCCAGAGACCAAGTCCTTTCCAAGGTCCTGGAACAAACAGACGTTGTTATTTGTTGTTAATGGCATCATCTCAGGATGTAAACTGTTCCAGGTAAAGCTGCCTTTTGCAATTGGCTGATTTTGTCAGTGCTAATGGAGCTCAAGTGATGCTCCAGATATTTTGGGATTATTATTATTCTTCAATTATCAGTCAGTGTTACAAACAAATACTATCATGTAGACAGCCCAAAAAATAAATGATCTAACTATTAACTGTGCCAGAAAAGTTGTACATAGGGTGTGTTACATGAGACAGACTTCCATAGCACTTCTCAGGACCATATGAATCCATAGAGCAAAGGTTCCCAATCTGGGGTGATCCACTCCCAGGGTGTGCAGGATAGAATTTCAGGGGCTACAGCAAAGAGTGGCTTGTGGTCTTTTGTGATGAGTCACAAGTCACAATTACTTTTGTACAGAGTGTGAACATTTCCAAACATTTCCTAAGGATGTGGGCCATAGAAAAGATTGGAAACTACTGCCATAGAGAAGTTCTAAACATATATAAGACGGTTATATTAAGCAAAGCCACATTTTTGCTGTAATTCATGGCATTTTTATGAGCCTCATTAGCACTTTATCAATAAAGAATTTTCACTGCTAGGACTGCAGTTGCTGGTTGCCATTTTGGCAATGTCCCACAGAGGTAGAAAAGGGGTGGGGATTAAATTATGGGATTCCATGTGTCATCTTGCTGATTTAATCCCACCACTCTCAAACATTACTGAATTACTTACAACATATAATTAAATATAGAATATGGACATCATTTTCAGATCCATTTGTTCTTTTCTGCTTTTCTTGCAGCTACTTCCCATGGGTTTTATTCAAATGAACGGTAAGATAAAATCCTCAAACTCCCATATCTGAGTAGTTATATAGATACATTCAGGAATTGCAGAGTGATATCCAAAGTGATACATTCAGGCTTCAGTTTACAAAGCAAGACATAACTGACTTTGAGGACGTGAAGGCATTCTAGAAAGGAGAAAAGTTATCTTGCCTTTTCCCATTATCAATTGTGAGAAAAAAACAATGCATTTATTTATCTTGTCTTTTTGGGTAACCAGTGAGTCTTCCAGTATGAATGATGCCATAATTATTCGCAATTGTTTGGCAGTAGCTGACCTGCAGACTATTTTGATTCTATGAAAATAAATTACAAATGAGGAAAAAGTAACATATAATACCAGTAAACATATGCTCTACCCCTAGTATATAAAGTGATGACATTTATAAGGGCTAAGAAGGTTGATGATGACTTCATAATCTTTTCTTCCTCAACACAATACTTATAGATGTCAATCAGGTTTAATTTTGCATATCAGCTATTGTATCAGAAGCAGAACTGGAGAGAACTGCTAACTCTCTTTCTCCTTCATTGTCAACTTGTCCATATTTATGTCCTTTTTACCTAGTTTATGCATGTGGGGCAGGGAGATTGCACAAAAGTCAGGGACAAAGAAGTACTAACAATTTTAATATTAGTCTTTACTTGGGATATAACAGCCGTATAATCTGTATAAGGAAGAATTCACAGGGAGTGTCAGAATGTTGACAGCACCTGTTTGACATAAATTTAGATTTAACTTTAATTGCATAGGTGATTACAGTTAAATTGCTGCATGTAAGGAAACTAGAAAAAAATTCTCAGGTTCAGAAAGTGACCAATCTAGTTTAGTATTTTGTTCTAGCCAGTTTAGTAGGTGGAATTGCACTTGAGTGGTGAACAACAGTTACATTTTGTGTTCCTTCCTTTTTTCTTCTCTACATAGGACAGTTGATAGCAAAGAAAACGGTTAAATGTTTTGGGAGAAAAATTAAAAATTAATTAAATACTCTGGGAAGTGGTACCCAGAGGCCCCTAAATTCTGTCCTACCCAGTGATGGGTTGCTCCCGGTTTGCAAGAACTGGTAGTAAAAATGTGTAGTAGTTCGGAGAACCGGTAATAACATTGGCTGGCCAGCCCCCGAACCGGGCCCAGGCCCAGTCGCCACTCGCTTACCCCGCCCACTTCATCAGAGGCTTTTTTTTTTTAACTTTTAAAAGCATTTTTTCTACAACCTCTTCAGCCGAAAAAATGCTTTTAAAAGTAAAAAAAAATGCCTCTGATGATCGTGCGGCTCAGCTGGGATCGTCAGAGGCTTTTCAAAGCATTTTTTCTACAACCTCTTAAGGTTGTAGAAAAAATGCTTTTAAAAGTTAAAAAAAAAAGTTGGCCACGCCCACCCAGTCACATTACCCACACCCACCAAGCCACACCCACAAAATAAGCCACACCCACAGAACCGATAGTAAAAAAATTTAGAACCCACCCCTATGTCCTACCACACATTTTCTACAACTGATGGTTATTTTTCCCACAGGGAAGTGATGCTGGTTGGGAGAAGAAAGGGCAACAGGGAACCCACCAGTAGCTGATCTGAATCTGCCCCATATTAAAATTTAGAAGACTGCAATACCACCTAGCTTTTTTGCTTGAGTGTAATAAACATTCAATAATAATTGATAATAATAATAATAAAAAAGGAATAAAAGGGACATGGTGGCTCAGTGGCTAAGATGCTGAGCTTGCCGATCGAAAGGTCGGCAGTTCAGCGGTTCAAATCCCTAGTGCCACGTAACAGGGTGAGTTCCCGTTACTTGTCCCAGCTTCTGCCAACCTAGCAGTTTGAAAGCACGTAAAAAATGCAAGTAGAAAAATAAGGACCACCTTTGGTGGGAAGATAACAATGTTCTGTGCGCCTTTGGCATTTAGTCATGCCAGCCACATGACCACAGAGACGTCTTCGGACAGTGCTGGCTCTTCAGCTTTGAAACAGAGATGAGCACCACCCCCTCGAGTCAGGAACAACTAGCACATATGAGCGAGGGGAACCTTTACCTATACCTTTAATAAACACTCATCCTGAGTGAAGTAGGTTGAGGTCACTCTACTTTGCTGTTAACTCCAGCAAAGTGGGTGTCCAAAAGAGCTCTCATCTTACCATTCCTTCATGCACTGGCGTGATCCCACATTGTACACTCTATTTGATACACAATCTGGAACTACAAGCTTGACTAGACCTGAGATAAATTTTTCTGACACTACTGCATACCTCTGTGCTGTTATGTCAACAGAGAGACATCCTTAGCAACTAGCCATCACTTGCCCTAATTTATTGCCTGTGTTGCTAATGGCTGAAGGAGGAAGATCTTTCTGTCTCTTTCACAGTGACTATCACTGGCTGGGAGAAAGATTCTTCCTCCTTCCATGGAGGAAGCTCCTCTCTGTTAACACCATTATGAACTTGAGGGTGGTGTTTGGCTGGCAAGGAATGTTTCTCCTTGAACAAGTTTCAGCCTGAATTGAAGGCCTATCACCCCAATGCATCAGTGCCTCTCAATGAAGCTTTTGCCTAGAAGCAAGTTTTATACATGGTAAAATACTATTGGAGATTAAATGTAATCAGCTAAATGTATTATCTGGGTTTCTGTATCAGATGAACTTGCAATAATAATATATAATCTCCTTGTCAATTCTCTCTCAATGCTCCTAGAGCAGATTAGTAGTAATGGAAGCTAAAGATCTGGAGGAATGCAGCTCTGGTATTAGCACTTGATATAATTAAATGCAACGCATACTTGGAAGTTGCTCAATGAAATTGGGAAGGTTTATCAGGCTGTAAAATTTTAGAGAATTGACGTTTCGCCCCATCACCATGTAATATTTAAAAATGTTTCATTTTCCAGGTTACAAGATCTTGCAAAACCAAAGCCAACCAAAGACGTATGGAATTTTCATCGGTGAGTTGCATATCAAGGTATAGATAAATAGTCCTCAACTTACAACCATTTGTTTTAGCAACTATTCAAAGTTACAATGGCACTGAAAAAAAGTGACATAACTGGTCCTCACATTTACGACTATTGCAGCATTCCCATGGTCACATGATCAAAATTTGGCTGCTTGGCAACCAGCATGTGTTTGTGATGGTTGCAGCATCCTGGGGTCATGTGATCACCATTTGCAACCTTCCCAGATGACTTCTGAGAAGAAAATTGTCAGAAATGTCATTGGAGACAGATGGATTCACTTAATGACTGCATGATTTGCTTAACCACTGCAGCGATTAGCTTAACAATCATGGCAAAAAAAGGCTGTAAAATTGGTCATGAGGCATTTAACTACCTTGCTTAGCAATGGAAATTCTGGTCTTAAATTATGGACTACCTGTGGTCTTTAAAGTGTGTTTTAGGTATGGTCAGAACATGTGATATTTGCCAGCATATGTTGTACAGTAATGGCCAAAATTGTGGAAACCTTTTGGGAAAAGTGTATTTTTGAGGTTTGATGGCTAACACCACTTTTTTTGGAGTTTCAAGATAATCATATTCCACTGCTGGAATGGCCTGGGAATAGCCCAGACCTTAACCCAATTGAAAATCTATGGAGCCGACTAAAGAAACTTGTTAGTCAGAACTGACCCAGCAATAAACCCCAGTTAATAGAAGCAATCATTCAATCTTGGTTTCACATTATAACAACTACAGAACTAAAAGACTTGGTTCACTCCATGGAAAGATGTTTTAAGGCTAAAGGTTACCCAACTAAGTATTAATTTTTGTATATCTCATTTCACCTTTCTTCTTTATAACTGCTATTCTAATAGCAAATCCTTCATAAAAGTTATTGCATTACATTCTTGATTAAATTATCTTTCCATTGATATATAATTTTATGGTACTACTCAAAAAAAGAAAAGTGGTGTTATTAGCTAGTTTTAGAAAATACACTTTTCCCAAAAGGTTTCCACAATTTTGGCCACTACTGTAAGTACATTGATGAAGTGTTTGTCATAGGGTCTTGCCGGGTAGATGAGGCCTTGACAGAATGCCCCATTTATTTTCAGTCAAATCAATGAGGTGGCTGCTTGTTTGTCAGTGCTTCTTAACTTCCCAGGTTACTACTTACCACCCCAATTTACTTCTGTCTTTTTTGAAAGGACACTTGCAAAGAAAGCATTGAGCTCTATCATTCACTATTACCATTTTCTAAAAATGACTTTAGACTTTATATCAGTGTTTTTCAAAATTGACAAATTTAAGATGTGTGGACTTCAACTCCCAGAATTCCCTAGTTAGCCAGCCAATATGCTGGCTGGGAATTCTGAGAGCTGACGTTTACACATCTTAAAGTTGGCAAGTTTAAATATGGAGTTCAGATGGCTCTAGAGATTGGGGGCTTGATTCTACAGCATGCTTGCACTCTAATTTGTTTTAATTAAAAAACATACATATTATACAGACACATAAAGTAGAGAGTTTGGTAGACATCCAAAGAATATACCAGAGCACCTGGGTGGCTGTAGTTACCAACTTGCTTCACACTTCTTTAGCAGGTACAATACTATACAGAACAATCCAGATACTTTATTCAGTTGACCTACTTCCTCCCTGCTAAATTAACTTTTTAGTTACAAAAGGCTATTTGCACTAATAATACTGAGCCCCAGTAGAGAACAGGTTAGTAGCTATTTCTCCTGGCAAGCTACCGTCTTCATGCAGAATGTAAGACACACCAAACTTTCTGCTCAAACACCTGCTTCAAGACCCCTACCAAATTTGCAATAGCTTCTTTTAGTATAAAAAAGAAAATTATGGTTTCACTATATTAAAATTTAACTTTTTTTTTTTAATTTGATTTATATGCCGCCCTTCTCCGGAGACTCAGGGCGGCTTACAATGCGTTAAGCAATAGCCTTCATACTTTTGTATATTTATACAAAGTCAGCTTATTGCCCCCACAAACTGGGTCCTCATTTAACCTACCTTAGAAAGGATGGAAGGCTGAGTCAACCTTGAGCCTGGTAAGATTCGAACCTGCAGAAATTGCAGGCAGCTGTGTTAATAACAGGGTGCATTAAACCACTGTACTACCAAGGCTCTGAATGAAACTCCACCCTTTTTAGTACATCTAAAAAGATGTACAAGATGTACTAAAACTCCACCCTTTTTAGTACATCTTCAAGATCAGTTCAGGTAGATTATTCCTGTGTAAATATACTGTACCAAGAAGTGTTTAATTTATTAGTATGTGGAGATGAATCATGCAGTGCTACTGGCAATTGTTGTTCTTCATGTACTGTAGTCCCTTTCATTTTGTATGATGGCAACAACAGTTACAGGTCTACTCTTGTGAAGTCCGGGCAGAATTTAACGACTTCCAATTTATGGGTCTCTGTTGCTGCGGTAGCATTTATTCAACCTTGGCAACTTTAAAATGTGTGGATTTTAACTTCCAGAATTCCCCAGCCAGCCTAATTTTGTGGGGAATTTTGCCTTGAGGCCAGATTTCTGTTTCTGCCTTTAAATGGTATTTTTGTCTGTTTTCAATTTGCTAACACTTGGGGGCAGCAATTACATGAGAGAATATCAGTGGTGGGTTTCAAATTTTTTTACTACTGGTTCTGTGGGTGTGGCTTTGTGGGCTTGGTGTGGCTTTGTGGGCATGGCAGGGGAAGGATACTGTAAAATCTCCATTCCCTCCCCACACCAGGGGAAGGTTACTGCAAAATCCCCATTTCCTCCCAATCAGCTGGGACTCGGGAGGCAGAAAATAGATGGGGGCGGGGCCAGTCAGAGGTGGTATTTACCGGTTCTCCGAACTACTCAAAATTTCTGCTACCGGTTCTCCAGAACTGGTCAGAACCTGCTGGAACCCACCTCTGGATAATATGTATGAGTGAGTTTACATGAATTGTAAGCTGTGTTAGCGAATTTACAGGTCAAAACAATCCAATCTCATAATTGTACATGTTGGCATATTCTCTGCCCAGATAGTTTCAATTTACCGATAGTTTGAAGAGTAATAGTTACAATTACTACTGTGTTTAGATAGTATAAACACAATCTAAAGATCAATATTTTTAATATTGTGGGGTCAAGCACAGATCTTATGCGGTATAACAAATATTTTTTTTCTTTGGTTCAATCATGTCTGATTTATTTTTATCTTGCCTTTATTATTTTTATAAATAACTCAAGGCACCGAACATAACTACGGTAATACTCTTATTTTCTCCACAGCAACATTCCTATGAGATGATTTGGAATGAGAGAGTGAGTGGCCCAAAGTCGCTCAACTGGCTTTCAGACCTAAGGTGGAACTAGAATTCACAGTCTCCCAGTTTGTAATCTGGTGCCTTCACAATTTAATCGTTATTTCAGTTGTTAATTGAAGAATGCCTTTTCTTGGCAAAGTTTTTCAAAAGTGGCTTGCCCATTGTGTCCTTCCTAAGGCTGAAAGAAAATTACTGACCCAAGGTCCCCTAGCTGGCTTTGTGCCTAAGGCAGGATTAGAACTCACACTTGGTTTCTGTCTTGGTTTCTAGCCTAATGCCTTAACCGCTACACCAAACTGGCTCTCATATAATAAATATAATATTATTTCTACATTATCAGGGTATGTGGTTGTATACTCATTTTGACTGGCATTTTGCATTTTGTATTCATAACAGCAAGTTAATCTGGGGAAATCAAGAAACAATATGGCCCCTCCCTTCAAGGTCTTTACTGAGACAGCCCAGCTCAAGAATCCTGACTCTAGCAATGCCAAGGGAAGCAGTTGAGAAACAGAAGAGGTTTGCTTTCATGTCTGTCCTTTTTTTATTTCTCACTCTGTCTTAATCTTCTTCATTCCATGCCTCTTAGGTCAAAATGTTTTAAACAAATTTCTTAAAAAGTAACTATTGATAATATAAAGCAGGGGTCTTCAAACTTGGCAGCTTTAAGACTTGTGGACTTCAACTGCCAGAAGCTATGCTTGCTGGAGAATTCTGGGAGTTGAAGTCCACAAGTCTTAAAGCTGCCAAGTTTGAAGACCTCTGATATAAAACAAATTTCTTTTGAAATCAATAAAATATTATCTTTGGTTTAGTATGGACCAAGGAAAGGTTTTTTCCCCAAGGAAAGTTCCTCAAATGAAATTTGTGAAATGGAATGGTTAAATATTTGACACAAAAGTCAAATATTTAAAAATTAGGTTTTTGCCTTCTACGTTCCATGGAGCGGAGCTGAAGTCAGCTGCTACTTTTCTTGCCTAATCCCCTTTGGTTCTACGACCTCCTGCTTATTAGACAGTCAGTGGATCAAATACCATTATGTGTTAATTTCATTTTTTTCTCCATAATGGATTTCTTTAGTGTGTAAAAAGCAGGAAAGAAAAAGAATGGGGAGAAACAGTGGAAAAAACACAATACTATTAACAAATAGAAGATAGTATTACCTAGGTACTCCGGAGATTCTGTGAAAGATGGAGAACTTATGTAGAACTATTCCAAGATCTAAGCATGATGTCTAATATTCAGGAAGGGAAGCCAGCAGGAAAGGACTGGATATACTGGGAAATCCAGCATTTACTGCCAGACAGCAGAGATTGTTTGAAATAACTGTTTGGATTCCAAGAAAGATTATATCAATTTGTAGTTTTGGAAAAAATATCCCACATGCAAAAGGAACATTTTTCTACTTATAGGAGAAAATATTTGTTCAGGGTTGAGCTGTGGAATCTTTGGCGCTCTCTGAGTTTGGCTGTTTTCTTGCAGATGTTTCATTACTTAACTAGGTAACATTAAGTGTTAGCAGCACCAAAGATGTTACCTAGTAGGGTATGAAATATCTGCAAGAAAACAATCAAGCTCAGAGAGCACCAAGGATTCTACTTTTCTACTACCTAGAGAAAAGATCCTTGACTAAAAGGTCTTTGTAGAAGAATAAAAGTGTTAAATAAATAAATAAATAAACTACTATGTGACTATTTTTTGTTAGGAACTCAGAATGATGAGTTAATTATTATTTCAACACTTCAGTATACTAAACTGGATATAGAAGGTGTATCCTGTAACAGATGTCCACCATCCATTTAGGAAATGACAATTAGCATGCTGCTTTTTTCCCCAGCCCTGTACTGCATTTTGAGCATAATACTTACATTGAAGTCAGGACAGGCTGAGGGAAAGTCTGGTTATTTGGATGAAGACTTTGGGAAGCAGCAACTTCACCAACTGGCAAATAGATTACCCAAATATGGACCTGATCCAACTTATTGAGGGCCTAATGCAGTGTGGAGGGTGGAGTTACTATTGTAGAGCTCAATGGCAAATCTGAAATTTGGCAGGCAGATTTCTGAAAGATCTCCCTTTCTCCCCACTCTTGCTCAGGTTTCAATAAATAGGCCAGTTTACTGCTGAAGTTCCCATTGATTTCAGTGAATGAATTACTTAAGGTTGAAATAACCACTCTCACACTAAAATCATTGGGACCAAACCATCATTTGGTGTCCACTGCTGTGCATTGTTTTGTCTGGGTATTGGAGATGTTGCTTTGCTTACTGTTGCTTCCATTCAATAAACACTGTGTTTGTCCCTAAGCAGATTCTCTAGACATTAATTCTGTTCTCAAATCAGCATCTAATTTTTCAGGATACAGAAGCACTACTAATTTAAAGGACAAACCTATCTGAAGTTGAAGTCCTAACATTCCTCGGGGAGGAAACCTAAGACCCATCGTCATTTACCAGGGTACCCTGTTTCCCCTAAAATAAGACATCCCCTGATAATAAGCCCAATTGGGCTTTTGAGTGCATGCACTAAAATAAGCCCCTCCTGAAAATAAACCCTCCCCAAAAATATTTAAACGCACGCGCAACCGGTCCCCACCATTTCCTCTGGTTTCCTGCACGCTCCCCAAAATAATAAGACCTCCCCGAAAATAAGGCCAAGTGCTTATTTCAGGGTTCAAAAAAAATATAAGACAGGGTCTTATTTTCGGGGAAACACGGTAGATATTGTTAAAAAATTATAAATGTAGAATCTAATATCTCCTACATTGTAGTTTCAACTGCCAAATGCAAAAGTTGAAAAAAATAATAGTTTTGATTAATAATAATGAATTTGCTCAATATGAAATACAGTTTTGGTGCCAAAAAGGATAAAAGAAAAGGTTGAAGGGTAGCTTCAGACTGTAATAGTAAAGTTTATTGTTCACAAAAAGGGTGTAGCATTTATCTTGACTGCCAGTACCAGCAAGATTGACTCATCAAATAAGCATCTGTTTATTCTGGAATGGTTGGATGCTTTAATTTGAATCCTAAATTTGACATTGAATGCTTTCGAGTACCAGTACATGTAGCAACAATGGAACAATTCTTAAAATGATTTAAGCACAGCTTGTGAAAAAAATACATCTATTTACTTACTTAATTCTGAACTTCTTTCTAAATCACCTATTTACACTAGGGGGCAGAAATAGGAAATGCAAGCGTATGTATGTACGGGCATGGAAAAGTGCTTACCACAATTCTGAAGAATAGCATAAAAGTGCACCAAACATTAATAAGCCAAAATTCAAGTTTTGGAATGATTAAATAAAAAACAGACAAAACATTAAAAGCGGCACACCTGCAAGAGATGACAAAGCTGAGTCTGAAAGAGGGGTCAGCTGAATCTTGAGTTCCTTCATGACCACAAGACATCTAAGTTCAGCCCACTTTGTATTCCAGTGATTCTTATCTACTAGCAATTTGCTTGGACCGTTAGTAGTTCAGATTCTTGTAGGGAGCTTAAGTTTGCAATAAAACTTTATAACCATTTGAACTGCCTGTATCTTCTGATTTCCCTGGTGCTTGACGTTAATCTGAACTACTAACAGCCAAATCAATTTGGCAGTAGATAAGAGTCAAAGAAATTAGATCTCTTTTTTTAAATTATATTTTTTATTATTATTATTTTTTAATATACATCCATATTGTATGTGGACAGTGTTGATTCTGGGCATCATTCATATTCCAAATTACAGTAACAATATTAGTAATCTTTATCACATTTATCAAACTCAGATGATCCTCATAATATTATTTAAACAGAAGGGGAAAAATGCCTAACTTCTATAAACCTCTAATCTTTCTATCTATTATTTTGTTTATTCTATTAAAATATATGTTTTAATATTTCCCCTATCTAATTTTATTTCTGCCTCTATCAGTTTACAACAAGCTCCCTTAATGCTTAAAAGGCAATTCTTTCTATTCATCATCTCCTCTCTTCTTTAGTGTTTCAATTTTTATCCATTTTTTTGCTCACCTCCCACACTCCTCATCTTTATCTCTATCTTTATCTCTATCTTTCTTGTTCTCCCAGTACAAACTTATGCTGGCAATTCTCCCAAATTCCTGCCCATGTCTCAATCTTCTTATCAAAGATGCTTTCCTGTCTATCCAGTTATTGATTTATCTGTTTTATTTTCTTCGAACTTTTTTCCTTTATCAACTGGTTTGTCAGTTCTATTTTTTGCTCCAGTCCTTGATTTATTCGTTGATATAACCACTTCATCTGTTCTTTTTGCTCCTTTTGCTTGTCATTTGTCTGGTCTTTCTCATCATCGAGATTTGCTTCATTTGCTGGTTTTTCTGATCCCTGTTTTTCCCTGTTTGTAGTCAATTTGCTGGTTTAAATAGTCCATTTCATCTAATCTTTCTATTATTTCCACCAATTCCTGAGCAGTTTGGTCTTTGTTCATTGCTCTTTGCAGAATATTTTCCATTTTGTCGTCTATACCATCCATTGATATTTTTATACTTTAGAACAACAAAGTCATCTCATTAAAAAGTCCTCTCATTTCCATAGCTGTTCCTTCAACTCCAGTCATGATAGCAATATAAGTACATTAAACAGTAATAGTCTCAATCTATTTCAAGTAGAGTTCAAAATTGTAAGCTTCCAATTATTAGTAGATGGCACATTCCTCTCAGTTTTCCATGATGCCTTTTTTTCTAGTAGATGTTAATTTCAGTCACTTCCAACATTTACTCCATATTCTAATAATCCAAGCTAATTTCCGAATTTTTTGAATCTGCTCTATAATGTTGGTCTTTTATTCTAGTTTCCCAGAGTTTCTTTTATAAGATGTCTCTCTTATCTCTCTTATACTTAGATCTCTGGTGGGCATGAAGGCACTCATGACTGATGACATGTTTGACTCCTCCCTCAGGCTCAGCTTGGTCATCTCCTACAACACCAGTAATTAAAGTGCAGAATAAACAGGTTGCTGAAAAGCATTTAATTTTAAAAATGTTCTTTTACTTTAAGAAAATAAACTATCTTTGATTCTTTCTAATCCACCCAAAAGGGATATAGGAAGCTAGACTACTGTAATTGATGTTTTCAACTAATGAAATCACAGCTTTCTATAAAATGAAGCTGTACATATGACCTTGAGTAATTGAAATTGCAGTTGAAGCATCTGGAAGAAGATAGCAGTAGAGCAGAGAAGACCATAAATGGCCTTTCTACTTTAGACTTATCTTGTTTTTCACTTAACCTTGTGGTTTTTCCATAGATCCCTCTTCTTGTACAGCTGTGGACAAATGTCAGAGATTTGGAAACGTTCTTCGACAGTGTATTCTGCATTGCCATCGAAGCGATTGCTGAAGCTAGCAGAACCTAGGCCAATTTCTGCAACTTATCTGAAACTAAGGTGAGGCTCCAGCACTAGTGAGTTTCTCTAATTGCCACAGGCCAGTGGGATTTTCAGTGTAGAGTTCAGGCAAGAAACCCTTTGAAAAATAGGCTGGTATTCTAATATAGAAACAGTTCAGCTCTCCTGAGGTCAAGTCTTGGTCAGTAACAGTTCCAGTCTTTAAAAAAATCTTTAAAAAATACAATCCAGAAAATTTCTGCCCAATTCATCTCTTTAATAATGTACAGTTAATAGAGTTTACAGGTTATGCTTGACTTATGACCACAATAGAGCCCAAAATTTCTATAGCTAACCAAAAGAGTTGTTAAGTGAACTTCGCAACTTTATACATCTTTTTCCCACAGTTGTTACGCAAATCATTGCAGTTGTTAAGTGAATCATGCAGTCATGAAGCAAATCTGACTCTTTGACTTTGCTTGTGGGAAGCCAGCTGGGAAAGTGACAAATGGGGATCACATGATCTGGGGACAGTGTAACTGTCATAAATACATGCCATTGCCAAGCAGCTGAATTTAGACAACGTGACCATGGAGATGCTGCAACTATTAAGTGTGAAAAACACTCATAAGTCACTTTTTTCAGTGCCATTGTAACTTCAGTAAATGAATGGATGTAAGTCAGGGTGTCAAACTCAAGGCCTGCGGGCTGGTCTGGCCCATGGGGCCACCCTGGAAACAGCGAAGGACCGGCCTGCGATGCCTTTGCTAGTGAAAATGGAGCTCAGGGATACCGCGCACAGCTCTGTTTTTGCTGGCAGAGGGCAGCAGGAGGCCGTTGCAGCTGAAAACAGAACCTCAACAAATGACATCGAGTGGGCCACATCCTCCTGGCCACCATCCTCTGGCCATGCCCCCCCGAGGCCCCCCCCCAGGTCAAACAAAACCCCGAAATTGAGTTTGACACCCCTGGTGTAAGACAAGCACTACATGTATACTAACAATCTGTCTTGCCTGGCTAGGATGATCACAAGGCTTTGGCTAAGCAACAAGTTAGATCAAGACTGGGATGCTCTACATCTGACATCTGTTTAATGTGATTTCGTGAACTTTGCATTCTTTAAAACTGTTAATTGTGCAAATGTTTATTGCTGCTATTTTCTGTACTGTCTTCATTTGGTACACATATTTGGTACACATCCGCCCATTCCGACTGGTTGCTTGCAGTGCTGGTGACCTGAGGTGAGGGGGGCTGGAGCTGTCCCATGTGCCCCACACCGGCTTACCTCAGGGCCCCTGCAGCCAGGCCACCCACGGCTCAACACCTGCCTTGCCTCACAGTGGCGGCTTTGGCAGCCCTGTCCAGTAGAACACCATGTGGCTGCTGGCCCACTTCTGCTTGCTCGTAGCCACAATGGAGCAGGAGGCTGAGCGACTCGCCAGTGCTGCAGCTATAAGGCAGTTGTCGGAGCATGGATGGCCTGGCTGTGGGGGCCCTGAGGTAAGCCGGTGTGGGGCACATGGGACAGCTCCAGCCCCCCTCACCTCAGGTCGCCAGCACTGCAAGCAACCAGTTGGAATGGGCGGATGGCTGCACAGGCACTTAAGTAGGACTTATTTTGGGGGTAGGGCTTATATTAGGTGCATGTGTAAAATATGCTAAAGCTTATTTTCAGGATAGGACTTGTTTTGGGGAAAACAGGGTATCTATTTGTTACTATCTATTTGTGAATGGATTTATGGATTGATGGTGACCATGGAAGAACGAAGGATGATTTTTCTGAAAATCTAAATTAACATGATTCAGGAGGAGAAAAAAAATCTATTAAGTGACATGAGTGGATAGGTGAAAATGAAATGAAAGGAGAGAGAAAAAGTTACAGAAGACCCCAAAATTGAATGTGAATTGTGATTTTTTGGGGGGGGATTCTCTATTTAGCAAAAGGTTAAGCTGGTTGAATCCTAATGCTATGTTACTTAGTTTCGTACTGCATTGCACTGATGATGTTAGCTAGTTTGGGTAATGAAACTCTGAAAGAAAACAATCAAGCTGAGAGATCACTGAGGAGTCGTCAGGTGATGGGTTTTCTAGACATGGTGGCTCAGCTCTATTCTCAACTGGTTTGCAAATTTAACAGTCAGCTCCCATGAACCCATGTGAGCCAGCATTCCTCTGTGAAGATAATATAAAAGAATGATTGCTATAAAAAAATAAGGATTACAGAAAGCAATTGTATGACATATGCAGAGAGAAAAAAGATAATTGCAAAGAATGTGGTCAAACAGAATCCAAGAAAAATTTAAGATGAACAAAGCAATGAAAATACAGGTAGTCCTTGACTTAAAACAGTTCATTTAGTGACTGTTCAAAGTTACAACAGCACTGAAAAAAGTGATTTATCACCATTTTTCACACTTATGACCATTGCAGCATGCCTATGGTCACGTGATTTATATTTGGATGCCTGACAACTGATCCATATTTATGATATTGCAATGTCCTGGGGTCATGTGATCACCTTTTGTGGCCTTCTGACAAGCAAAGTCACTGGGGAATCCAGATTTACTTAATAACCGTGTTACTAATTTAACAACTGCAGTAATTCAGTTAACAAATGTAGCATGAAAGGTCATAAAATGAGGCAAAATTCTCTTAACAACTGTCTTGCTTAGAAACGGAAATTTTGGACTCAATTGTGGTCATACATTGAGGACTACCTGTACAGTCATTTTGAGAGAGAGAAAGAAAATGATTTGGGATGAAATTGAAGTGAAGGAATGTTTGAATGAGAGTTTCATAGATATGCATTAGAATGATAGTGATATTTTGAAGAACAGAATTGCTTTCCATGCTGGTGATCAAGAAAGAACGATATGCAATATAAATAAATGTATTGTGAGACTACAGTTAGACAATTAAATCTAACTGTGAAGATACCTGGTATTTTGCACTTTTTAGCCACATTATAGCGCAAGCATGTTCATGCAAACTTCAGATCTCTAAAAATTGACATGCAAGCCAACATGTTCTTGGCCACATCAAGAAGGAAACTGTAGCCTCTGACATTGTTTCTGAATGCTCAATAAAAAGATACATTCAATGACTGAAAACTCTGTAAATTATTATCAGACAAAATTTAACTTACCAGGAAGGTGGTCTCAAGTAACTACAGCATCTACAATATGTCACATGTTTTAATTTGAAATACTCGAGAATGAGATCAATAAGAAACAATCCCCCCAAAAAACAATTTTACATGCTGAAGAGAAGAAAGTAGAGGCATTCGATTAGATTTGTACATACAATCTTGGAAAACATTGTGAATTTGAATATACAATTTGGATGTGGTCTATTACAATCTATAAAATGGCCAAAAGAAATTTTATTTAGATCCATTCCAATTATTATTGAAAAAAATTATGAATTATGTATGGTTTCTGATACATCACTGGCTGGATCATACATATTCAGTAATGCTAAAGGTTGCTAAAAATATTAAAAGGCAAGCTTCTTCTCATATTTCTTTTCCAAACTTTCATCCACCATGACTAGTTCTATCTTGGATACTAAAGCTTTGCAGCCAATAGAGATGGCATGTTGGCAGTATTGTGTTTTGCAGTCTTGCTCAATCGCCATGCTCATATCAGCATGGAATTATAGTTGGTGGAGGGAGAGAGTAAAGGAAGATGAGTTCTAATGCAGGCATGTCCAACCTGCATGCCCAGATATGGTCCCAGACAGCTAGTAATGGGCCCTACAAGATCATTTAACATTATGGGACTTTTAGCAATATTTATATATATGAACTATATTATGTATTTTATATGTGGCCCAAAACAATTCCTGTTCACTCAGTGCAGCTCAGGCAAGCCAAAAGGTTGGACACCCGTGTTTTAATGTATATCCAATAGAAACTTCAGAAACCTTTGAACTTCTGTAGGCAGGGAAGTCTGGGAGTGAAGCTTACTGAAACTTCTGTGTGATAAGTAAACTTGGTCTTGGGATGAGGGAAGAGGCAGTTCTCTCAAATGGGAAATGGACTGCCCATGGGTTGCAAAAGCACAACAAGAGCTTCCTGACCAAAGTTGGACTATCCCACTTCAAAGAAAGTCATACTTACCCCATCTATAGAAACAATGGATGGTAGAAGCATATAAATCAAATCTGAGACCTCTGTAGAATTGTGAACATGGCTAGTAGGAAACAAAAATTTCAGTTGCCCTTCTGTTCATTTACAGGCCACGAATTTCCCCTGTGTGGCCTATCAGCTCCTCGGCACTTTGTTGCAAAGCTTCCCACCGGATTTTGACCCTTGCTCAAGCGAGAAGTATCCATCCAAACTTTAAATTTCCAGAACAGGTAATTATGAAATAAAGTCAAACAGTAAAAATGATTTGAGTACATCTTTCTGCATGTATGATGCAGACAAACCATGTTAATTTAATTTAATGCTTTGAATTCATTGGGGGGGGAGCAAAAAACCAAATGGGGAATGTGCTCAAGTTCTCTTCTCAGTTCTTCAATTCTTTAAGAATTGTATGGACTGGAAACCTCTACGAGTAGTCCTTGCTCAGCAACCACAATTGGGAATGGCAACTTGGTCATTAAGCAAAGTGGCTAAGGGAAACAGTGACTGTGCTTATAAACTTACTTCACCTCTTCTTTACTTAACATACCTGTGGAAGTCATAAATGTGAGGATCACAAAGTTACTTTTTCATCACTGTCATAACTGCAAATGGTCACTAAACAAGGCAATTGCTAAACAAGGGCTACTTGTATGATTGTCTAGCTGTTTATTTATCTTCAAAGATTTCTTTAGCAAAATTCAGTGTTTGCATTGGGGCAACTATCTGTAGGTCGGGTATAGGATGAGGGTGGAGGTTCGTTCTCCAAACTTTTGAGTTGGTTTCCAAACATTTTGTTACCAGGCTGGGTAGCATCTTCAGCAGAGTTTAGGGGATGTCGGTGTCAGTGTTCTGCTTATAAGGGCTTCTGCTTAGTAGGTCTTGTGATGGGGAGGTCACGTCATGGGAGGGTCTTGTGATGGGTCAGGTGTGGATTATGTCAGACGAAGTCTTGTGATGGGTCTTGTGATCATTGGTGAGGTGAGGGTCATTGAGAGTATTGGTTGTGGGAGGTGTTGCATGGGTTGGTTGAGGGTCAGTGCCATTGCTGGTAGTTCAGTGCTTTAGCTCTACTGAAGGGGAAATTTGGTAATAATCTGATTGATCACAATCATAGGCCTATCTTAGATAAAGTAGATGTAAATGGGTCATATTATACCTCCATGTTCTACAGAATATTCAGGACAATCTTCTGTCTTTTTTCTACGTTTTTTTTAAAAGTCATTGACCAGAAATTTTATATATAATATATATAGAAATGTTACAAGACTCAAAATGATGACTAATAGAAATAAAGTGATTCATACTAAAAACACTACCTGTAGAAAAGGAAAAAAAGATCTAAATACTTAAAACTAATGTACTAAAATATAAACACTGCTCTGTGGAAAAAATGGCAACACTCTGAAATGAAAGTTGAGTCTTAGATTCCAGGATCTGACCATAGTACACTCTGAGTCATAAAAACAACTAAATCTAAAATGCAAAAGTATGCAAAAATATTGATCCAAATAAGAAAGTGTTTATAAAAAATATAAGATTTAAGCTATAGTGTAAGCTTTTGAAAAATAATTGATTTACCTTTTGATACTGAAGCCTCAAATCCCTTGCCTGATTGTTTAGAATAATGCCTACAAGAATCTCCTATGCTTTCTTCAGATTGTGATGTAGAGATATGAGAGGCACTTGAATTAAATGTTGCAGGAATTGTTACTCCTCTCATTAAGTTTGCAAAACTAACCATCTGAGACTTGCTTTTCAAGAAAGCATGTGAATTGTCTGAAGCTCAAGAATCACAGGTTCCAAATCTTCATGGATGTACCATCTTCTGTGGTGCCTTTAAGAAAACAGCTTGATCCACCATACAGGTATAGCTTAGCCAAATTGATTTTGTCATGTCTTCTTTTCTGAAGACATTGAGGGTTTTTTTTCCAAATCTCTGTCAACCCAAGCAACAATGAGGTAATTTTTTCCCCCAAAGATGAGCAGATGCTGGGTGGGGTGCCAGTTATGCTTCCACAATGCAGTGGATGGTTTATTTGTTTTTTGTTTTTTCCTTTTGGGGAGGGTTGGTGGATGTACATCCTCTGTTAATACTTTCCTCGCATTTCCCTTTGGGGTTTTTTGGTTGCTTGTTTCTATCCATTAACATTTCATTCCTTTCAAACTTTAATTTATGTAATTTCTTTGTCAAGAACTACAGTTGTTTGGAACAGTATAGTGACAGAATTTTTGCTGTCCATCCACAGATCTAGATTATCTTTCCTCAATGAAGTGACAATGCCATTGAGGTCTGGTCATTTCTTTAATTTAGTCATTTAGGTATACCGAGTGACTAAATTTAATTTAGACTTGATTAAAAGATATTCATGCAGCAAGGGTCTTTGCTTTCTCTTGGATCAAGTTCACCACTTTCCAAGACCTTCAATTTTGGATCAGACCTCTGACTTTCAACTTTAGCCAATCTGCTGTAAGGGTTAGTTCACTTTCAAAAGAAGCAAATGGTGGTTTTATCCTGAAGGGCTGCTTCATGAATCTTCCTGCAGTTAAAGACAGAGATGATAAGAGAAGCTTGATAGTTGTCTGAATTAAGCATACCATTTTGCAGTGTGAGAGTTTGTGTCACATTTTCTAGGAGAGGTCTCATGTTTTGATCAATAAATATCTGAAGGCAGAAAATTCCAAAGTGTTTAGGAAGATCTTCATTTTTAGGAATATGGATTTGTTGTTGTTGTTGTTAGTTGCGAAGTTGTGTCCAACCCATCGTGACCCCATAAACAATGTTCCTCCAGGCCTTCCTGTCCTCTATCTTCCTCTGGAGTCCATTTAAGCTCAAGCCTACTGTTCAGTGACTCCATCCAGCCATTTCATTTTCTGTCGTCCCTTTCTTCTTTTCCCCTCAATCTTTCCCAGCATTAGGCTCTTCTCCAGTGAGTCCTTCCTTCTCATCAACCGCCAAATCCTTTTTCCAGCCAGACAACATGAACAACATCAACAACAAGCAACTATCGATGAAGTAGATGGCTTAGAGAAAAACAATCAGGCTATAGAATCCCATCTTCCTGCATTGATGCTTTTATTAAGAACTGAGAGAAGTAACTATTTATATTAGTATGTAAGAGCGGAGGGGTTTTTATTATCTGGAATGAAGGAGCACAATAATTACCATTTTCAACCTGCTTATAAATTAGTAAAGTCTCTTTCTGAGAATCAGAAAGATGATGTGCTTTCTGTTTCTGTCAGAAGGATCCATTATGGGTATTAAATCATAGAACCATAAAATCATAGAATTGGAAGAGGCCTTGGAGTTCTTCCAATTCAACCCCTGCCCAGGTCAGGAATCAATATTTTCTTCACAACATTAATTTCTACAGAAGTAATTATTAATTGATCAAAAAGGTTATTACAATCTGGGCAGTTATAAGGGAATGTTAAGTTCTAAAGAGTGTTTTATAGTTAGAATGTTATTTAACCCATCAGTGGGAGCATTATTGGAGGGCACAGGTACAAATAAATCTTCAAAGTGAACCGTGCATAGTAAGCTTTTTTTTTTAAAAAAAGCCATCACTCTATAGGAATCGATCATTTTCACTTGAGAGAATAGAGTTTGGTATCTCATTGCTGAGATACTGTAACTCTTGAAATCTGTTCACAGAATTCAGAGATTCTGAAATTAGATCCTCGGGAGAAGCCTTTGAGGAGATTATTTTCAATTGTTTTGCTGCCACTGTTGGTTTCAAGAGTCTAGGGCAGATTCTGTGTCTTCTTTTCCTGATCACAGCAACAGGAATATTATGCTGCAGGTCAGAAAATTACATTCATAAAATTCAATTCATAATTGAAATAATAAAATGATAAAATAAGCAGTCAGAAAGAGGAAAATGTAAGAAAAACCAGCGGAAAAAAAGAATTATATAGTAGTCCTTGACTTACAATCATTCATTTAGTTACTGCTCGAAGTTTCAACAGCACTGGAAAAAGTGACTTATGACTGTTTTTCTCACTTAGACAGTTGCAACGTGCCCATTATCATATTAGCAAACTTTGAACACTTGGCAACTGGCATGTATTTATGATGGTTGCAGTATCCCAGGGTTATATGATCACCTTTTGTAACTTTCTGACAAGCAAAGCCAATGGGGAAGCCACATTCACTTAATAACCGTATTACTAACTTAACAACTACAGTTACTTAATAACTCTGGCATGAAAGGTCGTAAAATGAGGCAAAATTCACTTAACAACTGTCTTGCTTAGAAATGGAAATTTTGGACTCAATTGTGGTTGTAACTAAGGAGTTGCTATTGCAACATTGTATTGTTATTGCTTTAAAAAAAACAAACCATGGCCTATTTATATCACTTTTATATAGATCTTGGGAGGAAGAAGAGATGAAGTGCATATCCTTTCAAAGCAATACATGGAAGCTACCATTTATGTTGCTAGGATTTGTCTGTGTATACAACAGAGATTACTCAAAATGCAGTAGATGTACGAATACTGTATATCCAATATTCAGTTGTGGACTGTCCTGTGTAACTTTTTCTTCTGTGGATTAAAATGTGATTATGAATTACATTAGATTTTACCAGCATAGGCAGAAAATCTAGTTTAAAATATTAATGCTTCTATTCCTTTTAAGTGTCTTAAGAGCAGCTTATTCTTTCAGCATTTGGACATTTGAAAAATTGTTCCAAGAAAATAGAAACAGCACATTCTTAACCATGGTATCCTCTACTGTGTAGATGATTCAAAAGTAAGAAACATCGCCAAATCCATCTCTAATGTAGAAATGCGGAGGGAGGGAAGAAAGGAAGGGAAAAAAATAGGAAACAGTGAGGTAGATAGCATCTGCCACATTTTTTGTTTCCTGATTTCCATTTACAAAAAGTTTAATCTGTTGGCCTGCTGCATCTTCTTTCCTCCCTAGTGAATTTATTGTGCACTAACAATTTTTACACACATCCACACTTACACAAAATAGTAGCCATAAAAAAAGAAAGAAAAATCCATAATCAGTATATTTATTAAGCCAACTGAAGGTTTATAGAACATTGTTTCAATTGATCGTTAAGTATGAAGAAGCTTACAAGCTATGCTGATAATTTCTGTGCCCAGCCTCATATCTTTTTCTTGCTGCTAATGTTTCCGTTTCCAAATTTGAGCTGGTATATGAAAACAGAATTGCATTCTTGAAACTTTGACCTTCCCATCTACCTCACCGCCATTATGTTTCAAAATTGTGTATTCCTTCCCCTTTACTGCACTAACACTCATAATGACGTGTTGTTGTGTTGAATGTTGTATGGAACTTCCTTTTTAAGTTTGTTTTCAGCTGATTGCTCACCAGTAATGTTTCAGCATCAGACAAATTATATGACCTGTCTTGTACAGAATGTTCATAAAAACGTTTTGTTCACTGACTCATTGCCTATTCTGTAATATAATGACTAGCATCCTGTCAGTTGGACTATTAGGTAATGTTTATTGCACTTGCTTGATATTGCTTTAGCTAGAGATGGATTTTTATTTATAAACACTCATGTTTTTTAAAAAAATCAATGGATTATCAAACTTCCATCCTTTCTGTTGCAAGCATGCTGAGATCGCACCCTCCCTTTTGGCCCTAGTATGAGGCAACCTGCTAACCGTTTGTTGTGAGGCTGTCTTCACAACCAAGTTTCTGTTTCAGTACCAGGATCAAAGCTGGATCAGCGTGATCTACCGGGCAATTTTTTTTTACCTGGTGGAAAATTCAGTAAAACTTCCTATGCTGTTATTCTGGTTTGCAAGGAGGATCTTCAGGGATGTCATCAAAATGCAGCCCCATTTAGCCACCTACAAGACCATCCCTCTTCAAGGCAATTTCTGCTTGGGTTACCAGAGAAACCAGAACCTCCCAGTCAACCAACATTTTTTTTCTTGTTAGACTCTGGTAGGAAGAGTGATCTTACAGAAGATATGAGGATGGAGTTCCCCAGAATTATTGTCTGCTTTTTCTCCATCAAACTTCCATACTTGCTGGAGAGGAGAAAAATCTAGGGAATCCTTTGCGCTCCTTACTGCCTTTCCTTGCACCTGTATTTCCCACAAAGCAGCCTCCAACCACTTCAATTTCCCCACCCCCACTCCCACCACACACACATACACATTTGCTGCTTTGTCCTGGAGGTGTGTCAAGAAAGATGCTCTGGATGGATGGTTTCTTTGAATTGTGTGTCAGAAATGACAGGAAAGCACATTGCTGGGCCTTTTGCTTTCCTTGGGGGAAAAAGGACATAATGAGAAAAAGGGAGCGGAGAAGAACCATTTTCTGTTGTGTTGAGAGTTGGCAATGCCTGAAGCACCAAGAGCGTGAAAGCCACACAACATGGATTTTGTAATACCAATGGCGTAGACTTTGTAGTATAAAAATATGGATGCTGAGGCACAAGCCTAGAATCAGATTTGGCCTTCAGTGGCAAAGGCAGCTCTTTTTACCCCCATCCATGGGATTGAAGAAAGAAGCTATTGCTCATAGATCTACAAACTTTGACCTATTGCTAAGGCTGGGGAAAATTTGCTTTTTAAAATGGCTTCTTCTGCCTCTCCCTTCCTCTTGAGGATATGCATCACTTAGATTCTACGCTGCAGAAGCAATAATAGTTGCAGCTAAATGGTTATGGTTTTCCTAGACTACATGTATTTCAGTCTAGCTTTTACTATGTCCAGAAGGCATTGGGCAAGAGCACCAATTCCCTCTAGTGGAAAATGGAACCTTTCCATTGGCTGCAAAGCTTCTTGATAATGAGAGCTATGCTAATGAATAGACATTAAAGGTGGGGTTGATTTTCCTTCTGTATGGAAGCAAAGGAAGGGAGAGCCATGTAAATCCAATATTACAGAGGGAAGAAGTACAATATCCTGAAAACCCAACACCAGATGGAGCATTTTGCTGAGAAATTAATATACATGTCTAGAAATATTGAGGGTATCTTTTAACTTTTTTTTAACTTTAGGAACCTTGATGATCATATGCTTGAATTATTATTTGTAGACTCTACTGTAGATTACTTTGGAAGCCAGTTTTGTTTTGGGTATGTACTTCATAAAAGCCTAGTCAAGCATAGTAATCCTTTCGTGAAAATTGCCAAGTCCTTAAAATGCCATAAGTGCTTGAAGGTTTATAAATAATTAGAAATCTGCAGGTTGCAAGAAATCAATTTTAAAGTTGGCTATCATTGTTATATGATGATATAACTATAACTTGTAACTATTCGTTTCAAAGGCAAGAAATAAGAGGTTCAGGTTCAGAAGTATTGTTGATAGAGTAGATTTGCAGGCCATTGATTGGAAGTAAGTACTCAGAAGATGTGACACAGACAAAACTTAAAATCTGACCTCCAACGCTTTTCCTTCAAGAGAGAAGACGACAAAGTACTAAAGAGTTTTTTAAGCACGAACTCCCAGGGATCCTCCCATACCCAGGATGGATGAAATACCAGATGAAATTCGTTTCTAGGCCAAAGGTTTTTTATCCTTAGTCTACACTATCTTTGCTGAACCTTTTTGCTCCTGATTCACAATGAAGAACCTGTTGTTTCAGCAAGCTGAGAAAATCTTTCATACTACCTCAGCCTTCTACCTTTGGATATGTTATTGTGTAGTTTGCATTTTAAAAAGGGATTTTTCAAATCTTCTATCATGATACATGACATAGTTTGTATTATAAAATTTGTTGGCTATTTTTTGAGAAGAAAACGTAATTTTCATTGTTCAAAAAACATCTTTTTGATTTTTAGTATGCTGCAAAGCAAATCTCTAACCAAATATATCAGTTGAAACCACAACTGCTCAAAAGTGGGATTATAAAATGAATATGGAAAGAGCAAGTTTAACTCTAAAGCTCTGAGATGAAATGATTGTGAATAAGGGATGAAGAGGTTAGAAAGATTTTGACCTAAATAGCTTCTGCTATTATGATGAATTCTGTATTTACCCATCATCTTTGATTCTTTGACTTTTCCTAGGAAAGGATTGTGATTTTTTTTTTCTTCTGGAAAGAAGCTTAAATTAGAAAAATGACAGAGGGAAAGACCTGATGAATGACAGGAGAAGGTTGAAGAAGAAATTGAAGGATTAAGAACCTCTACTAGGATGCTGGAACTAGAGAGGAGAATATTGGAGGGGACGAGACATGAGATTACTGGAGCATTTCACAACTTTCTATGGGGATCGCTATGAAAATTTGGAGCAGTAGGGCCAGTTACAATTGTAATTTGCTTTTCTGCCCAAATCACATAACTCTGAATTGCAAAACACATCATAAGGCTGGAAGAGAGGAGGGAAGAAAACTGAAGGCAATCTTTGCCCCGGAACTCTGACACAATTATCACTCTGGGAAATACATTTATATCAAATATGTAGATACATTTGTCTATGATCTTCTGGTTTTGGGCTGTACGTTAGCATTATGTATTTTCCAGATGGGCCGTCTCTCAGATGAGCAGCCCTTGAAGTAAAATAAAAATTTGCTGATCTGTAAATTTCCATTTTCAGAGCTGAGGCAATGAAACAGAACTGTACAGTTTTGACATCTGGGTTTCAAAATCTAGGTTCCCGAGGATGGACTTACCTGCACTCTCATATGAGCATGAGAGTTTATTTATTTATTTATATTTATTTGTTAAATATTTATACGATAACAGATATAAGTATAAACATGATTATGAATATAGGATAAGGATACGAATAAATGGGGACAGTAGGACAGGGACGGTAGGCACGTTTGTGTGCTTATGCACGCCCCTTACAGACCTCTTAGGAATGGGGTGAGGTCAACAGTAGACAGTCTAAGGTTAAAGTTATGGGGGTTTGGGGAAGAAACCACAGAGTCAGGTAGTGCATTCCAGGCATTGACCACTCTGTTGCTGAAGTCATATTTTCTGTAATCAAGTTTGCAGAAGTGGTTTAACTTAAGTTTGTATCTATTGTGTGCTTGTGTATTATTGCGGTTGAAGCTGAAGTAGTCCTTGGCAGGTAAGATGTTGTAGCAGATAATTTTATGTACTACAAAATTATCTCCTCATGTACTCAAGAGGAAATGCTATCTCTGATAAGAATACATTGCTATATGCCTTCCCAAAATTGGAATGAGCAAATAAGCAGATTTTCTTGTCTATCATAACTATTGGCGCGACCTTTCTCTATACAGGTCCTTTCTGGCCTACTGTATATAGATTAAAGATGCATCAGCTTCAGTTGAGACTAAATAAGAAGTATATATCCAGCCTGCTCTTTCCTCTTCCAAAGGATCCTTGGGAAATATTACTGCGGGAGAAAGAAATATGTTTTTCTTGGCATCTGACCTTTTGGTTGGTTGGTTGTGTAATCAAATTTGCTTTATTGTTGGTTCATTTCTCCTATCTAGTCTGAAAGAGAGATTTCAAAGGCTGCAAGAAGAGCTGAGGCTACCCCAAGATTACAGCAACTTGCCCAGCCGGTAGTTAGGAAACAAATGCAGTTGTATGAAAATACAAGCATGGAGGTCCCAATCCGCCAAGTAATTTTTTAAAAACTTTGATACTTCTTTGTTGATATAAAGGATAAGATTGCAAGGTAAGATCAAGCAGTTATCTAGCTGGAAAGAACCATTATGTAAATAGGTCTCCACAATTTCCCAAGCCATCAAAAGACTTGCTAGTATTTGTTGAACAGAAGTACTATTTAAAGATCAAAGCATAGATCTGATCTGATCATATATATCATATATAAAGGCCCTGATTTCTGTTTCTTGGTACTATAGTAGGCAATCTATTTTTTCTAAGGCTGATTCTCATTTGCAATAAAATATTCTAATTTAGCTGAATTGTGTCTGGGAATCTTCCATCAAGTCAATCCAAGGGCTGCATAAAGCAGGGGTCTCCAACCTTGGCAACTTTAAGCCTGGCGGACTTCAGCTCCCAGAATTCTGAGAGTTGGAAGTCTGCCAGGCTTAAAGTTGCCAAGGCTGGAGACCCCTGGCATAAAGGATCAAAAGTCTAAAGAGCTATGATTTACTGCTGAGCTCAAGTGTGAAGCTTGACATCTTTAATATTGAAGTTAACCAGGGATTAATGTTTATTATTGTATGCATAGGATAAATTTGTTAAAAACCTCAGTATAATACACCTCAATATAGTGCCTCAAATTTCCAGCCATCCTATGTCTGACCACACCCTTTGTCCTTTCCCACGTCTCACTGGCTGCTGCCACCATAGAAGGTAAGAAGTAGCTACCTGTACACAATCAGTTCCTCCTCCTTCTGTGTCCAGTTCAGTGTCATTGTCAATGCCTTCCTATTCAGATCCCCTCTGAGTGGTGTTTCTCATGTTGCTGGCACTTTCCCCTGATTACTGCTGCTCCTGTAAATGCTCAATAAGCAGCATCCAAGTGAGCACCTTTTATAAGTGGGACCCTATACCATTTGTCTGAAATGATATTGTAGGAGATGGCCAGGCTGAGCCCGAGGGAAGGGTCAAAGTCAAATGTGTCATAAGTCACAAGTCACTGCACAGCCGCAAGAGATCTAAGTCCAGCTTGCCTTGAATTCCTGTTTATCCTTATCCTGCAAATTTCCCTTAACCGTTAGTAGTTCAGATTCTTGTAGAGAACGTAAGCTTGCAACACATCTTCATACTCATTTGAACTGCCTGAATCTCCTGATTTCCCCGGTGTTTGACAGATCTCCTGCTTGAGCAGGGGGTTGAGCTAGAAGATCTCCAAGGTCCCTTCCAACTCTGTTATTCTGTTATTCTCCTGCCATGCCCATAAGATGGATCACCACCAAGGTCTTCTACCCTGTTACCTAGGCAGTCTTGACTTAATTTCTTCCTCTGAGGAATGTGACCTGTCACAATCTTTCTGCTACCTTCAGAATCCTGCCAGAAGGTTTGTCTGTAGGTTTGCCTCTACTTTGATTTCAGAGATTATTGAAGGAAGAGGAGAGTCCATAGTTCCTAATCCTTTGGGGATGGATTTATCTTGTATCTTAGCTTTTTCAGAAATGTTCTGGAATAAATCTCATGTTCAAAAATCAGCACTTCTGTTCTTCTGCAGATACCCCTGACTGCTCTGCAAGCAGTCCCAAGTCCAAGGCTACTTGAACTAGCTAGACCAAAAGTAATCCCTTGTGAGAGTGCCATGGATCGTTCCCCTGAGTGGACTGTGTCAGCGGCAGCCAAGCAGGCAGTAGCCTCTCCTCGACTCACGGAACTCTCTCACCCTCCCAACAGGTGGGGTTTCCCAGATGATCTGATGGCTGTGTTAATGGTCTCACCAACTCTCCAATTGAGGGAAAGGATCTTGACCTGTAGATAACTTTTGAAGGCTCTGAGCAGTAGTGGGTTTCAATTTAGTTTGCTACTGGTTTGCTTGTGGGTGTGCGGGGACTCGTATGACACTTCTGCGCATGCGCAGAAGCATCCGGGCGGGTGGGTGGAGCCTCCCGCCACCACCGCTACTGGTTTACCCAATTCAGGGCAAACCGGTAGCAACCCACCACTGGCTCTGAGAGACCTATGGGCAGAAGGATCCTCTGAGCATGTACTGCATCTCATGCCAGTGTTTTATTCTTTCCATTGTTTTTGTCCACTAAAATTAGTAAAGAAAATGTGTGAGGAAAGTTGTGAAAATATATTTGTATATTTCCTTCATTTGAAGAATTCACCAATCCATTGAAATGGATCTTTCTCTGTATATGGAGACCATGGCAATTGGTGCCATTGCTTGCCTTTCATAAATGCCCAAAGTGCCTTTTTTCTGTATGTCATCCATAGCTGCCTGCGCTAGATGTATCTTTTTGCAAATTGTATTCTATCCAGTTATTTGCTTGGCAGGTAACTACAGTAGTGGCCAAAATTGTGGAAACCTTTTGGGAAAAGTGTATTTTCTAAAACTATTAACACCACTTTTTTTTTTGAGTAGTACCATTATATATCAATGGAAAGATAATTTAATCAAGAATGTAATGCAATAACTTCTATGAAGGATTTGCTATTAGAACAGCAGTTACAGTATAAAGAAGAAAAGTGAAACATATAGAAAAAATGAGATATACAAAAATTATCACATCAGTTAGTACTTAGTTGGGTAGCCTTTAGAATGAATTACGGCCTACAACGTCTTCCCATGGAGTGAACCAAGTCTTTTAGTTCTGCAGCTAATGTGAAACCAATATTGAATTACTTCTATTAACTGGGTTTTATTGCTGGATCGCTTCTGACTAACAAGTTTCTTTAGCCGGCTCCATGGATTTTCAGTTGGGTTAAGGCCTGGGCTATTCCCAGGCCATTCCAACAGTGGAATATGATTATCTTGAAACTCCAGAAGAAAGTGGTGTTATTAACCATCAAACCTCAAAAATACACTTTTCCCAAAAGGTTTCCACAATTTTGGCCCCTACTGTAAATAAAATTCATCCCAATGACTTCAGTGGGAACCATTAAGCTTGCTGAGAACAAAGAGCCCTCCTGAATTGGATTGTTGATGGAAAGATATTCACTTCATTGCATATAGAGATGGAGAGACAGACTACTTTTTCACTGTTTTACCACAGAATATCATTTTTTTCCTACTATTTTTCTTCTGCTGAAGTCAATGGGATTTAAAAAAGGAGCAGAAAACATAGGTGTTATCACAGTGGTATCATAATAATAGGGACAAGAAGCTAGTAACAAAACACATGTTATGACGTATGACAGCGCAAACCTCATGACTTACATACAACATTAGGACACAAGTGCAAGAAGATTTGTGTTGTGAAAGCATGACATATGTTTTGTCGACTGGTTAACAGAAATTTAGATTCGATCCAGGGAGGTTTATTATCCTACTGACAGAGCAATTCTCTGCCAAGAAAACAGCACAGATCTTAGTAGTGTTATTTTTTCCCCCATCCAACATGTGAAACTCTGGGGTTGGATTGCTTTGTTAATCTTGCAGAGAGCTTTATAAAAAGGAGCAGCATTGAGGCTAACAATTCTTTTCATATTTTTTTTGTCAGGGCCCCAACCAACCTCGTGCAGTTTAATCCAGATGCCTTTATTGTAAAGGAGTCTGCTAAGAACGCAATTTGTACAGAAAGAGTCAAGAACTTAGCACAACCAATTACTCGTTGATCTCACTGATCACCCACATCTAACTCTACGTGGCATTTTCAATAAATTAAAGGAACTATAGTGGCGTGCTTTGTCTACTTCTTGTACTGTTGTGTTTTGACTTCCACAAGTGGTTAATAACATCTGAAAAGTAACATCAGCTGAACTAACACCACAATTATTCATGTTTAAGCAGAAGCCTGACTTTTAAATATGAATGTTTGATTTGTATTTTCTCCTGATCCAATGTCATCCTACAGCTAACAATAGAGTTTAAGTCTAGATAAAAATCAATACACAGCAAAAAGCAAAGCAACAATAAAAGAAAAACAGAATTAAAAATAATGCTATAGAACAGTACATAAATAAAATGTTAATATCCTTAGAACAGAAATAATGAAACAGTATAATAAAAAGTTAAACCCAGATATTTAGAGCCCGTGCCAGAAACTCCAAAAAGCTTGCCTTTGCTTTGGGTTTGTATGGAGCTAACATTTTCTGCTCCTCAAGAAATAAGGGTGGGGGTGCCTATTCTGGAGACATCTAGAGATAGTTTTCAACCAATGCAGCAACATTCATAATTGAAGGGATCTGGATAGCACTAGTTCTTGGAAGTATCAGTAATATAATTCACCACGAGGATGGAAAAAGTGGTAAGATTTAGTTCAGAAGTATGGTATACTTCTTTTTTCTTCTGTTAAAACATGTCTGATTCTCAGAGACCATCTAGACAAGTCTCTGCAATTTTCTTGGCAAGGTGTTTCAGAAGTGGTTTTTTGCCATTGCCTCCTTCCTAGGGAGGACATAATGTGACTGGCCCAAAATTACCCAGCTGGCTAGGTGCCTAAGGCTAGAACTAGAACTCACAGTCTCCTGTTTTCTAGCCTGATGTTTTAACCACAACACTGAATTGGCTCTCATTGTATAAACCATAAGCTAATTGTAAATGTATGTAATTCTGTTTCCTCCTTACAAAGAGAGGGCCATTACTAAACTTGTGCACTGAAGAAGCAAAACTGTCTATTGTGTAGAACCAAAAGATTCTAGGCATCTCCAAAGTTCTTAATGGTACTCTGGCATTTTCCACATGATTTTATTGCTACTGAACTTGACAATCCAACCTTCGCCAGTAACACATTATATTTAATATTATTTGCATTCATAGGATTAAGAGTGCATACCTATAACCTCACTACAGCAGCTGCATGAAATGCCTGGTATCTGTGTTACAGTCGTGTGATGCAATTGAGAGTGATGAAATTGCCTTCATCACTCTCAAGTGCTTATTAGGAAACTACACACACACACACCCCAATCTGGAAGGCACAAAGCAGGTTGGGCATTTCATAGTCTCTCCCTGCAATCTCCTGGTTTGGAATAGTGATTTAGCATGCTGGTAATGTTACCCTGTAGCCTGGCATGTATTATTATGAAGATGCCCTCTCATTCATCCCTGCTGAATTGCCTCTGGATATGGCAACAGCAGCAGTATAGAAAAGTATCTCACCTTTCCATCTCATCCATCACTTTCATACATGGAAGGGAGTTTGGTTATCTACATTTCTCACGTTCCCCAGTGTTTGCAACACTATTAACAATTTCTCAAGTGCTGTGGAAATGTAGCTATGATATACTGAACTCATAATTACCAAATTTGAATAATTTCCAGGTTTGCACTGATGAATGGAAAGAAAGGAAGATTTGTTTACATAATAAGTATTCTTGTAGAAGAATAGAGAAAAGAGTTCCTGACATTCAATTCACTATTTTTTCTGTGCTGTGTTGTTTGGGATTGTAAACTACATTAATTTCCCAACCTTATGATCCTGAACCATGTTGAGATGGACTATATATGCAGCAACAATCATGGAATAATTCAAGATCACATTCCATATTGTCTGAACTGGCCAGGTTGAAGCAAACATAGTTGTCTTGCAGCAGTAGTCAAAAGAGAACCTGGAATCCAGGGGTGAAATCCAGCAGGTTCTGACAGGTTCTGGAGAACCGGTAGTGGAAATTTTGAGTAGTTCGGAGAACTGGGTGGGAATGGAGATTTTACAATATCCTTCCCCCAGGAGTGCAGAGGGAATGGGAATTTTGCAGTATCCTTCTGGAGTGGGGTGGGAATGGAGATTTTGCAGTATCCTTCCCCTGCCACGCCCACCAAGCCACGCCCACAGAACCGGTAGTAAAAAAAAAATGGATTTCACCACTGCTGGAATCTAATATGAACAGCACAGATGATTGCAGTGCAATACTCCAAGTCAAAAGACTTGAAGAAAAAGAATATGAGTTCTGAGTCAGAACAGCTAATACTTTCTCAAGAACAGTTGCAGAATGTAAACTCTCAGTATGAGGAGGAGAGAACTTTGCTTCTTTGGCCACTCAAAGGCTCAAGGCTGATGCAGAAGCCAAACTATGGAATAATGGTTAGGGAGTTATATGAAATAAATGAACAGCTAATGCAATTGGACAGGAGATTTCAGGTCAGTAGCAGAGAAGTAAAGGTTTTTGTCTCGATAGATTGTGAGCAATATGATGAAGGAAAAACCTAACCTCTGGGAAATTTCCCAGAAAAGAATATAGTTGGTTCAAGGGAACGAAACTCATGGCTGTAGGGAGTTCCTTAGAGAAAGATAACTAATGGGCTGTGAGAATAACCTTGAACAGGAGGAAGAGCTGCAGCCGAGCCAATGGTCAGTGAATGAGTCAGCAGAAATGGAGTTTGAGAAAGCTTGACCCTCCCTAGTTCTCTAGGATAGAGGCAGTGAGGGGTGAGTCACATTCAGAGGTGTAGAATTCTATTATTGTTACTCTATAATAATAACAGTAGCATTCACGATGTTGGAGTTCCAAGTCTGGTCAACCTCAAAGAGCTGACAATAACTCAGGACCTTGGAATGAGTCATAACTGGAAGAATAAAACATGCACTATTGAGCTCCTGCCATAAAATCAAACAACAACACTAAAGGTTGTAATGTTATTTATTTATTAGCTTATTTATAAATGGCCCAGCTCATGATTGTCCAATTAATCACTGACTCTGGGTGACATAAAAAGTTTAAAACAACAATCCAATTCAATAGATTAACATTCCCATCCCTCAAAAAGATGTTCCTAATGAAGAACATACAGTACATAGACCATAAATGTGCAAAACCAATCCCATAGTAGACATACCCACACCACTCAAGTCCAAGGCCTGGAGAAAAAAGCCAGCTCTTACCTGATTCACCTGAAGGAACTAGCCATGATGAAAGCAAGAATACCACCTTATGGCCCAATTACGCCACTTCCTAAGAATTTATTAGTGCATGTTCCTTGTTATGTGAATGAAGCAATGCCTTATTAATAATATTCATATTCTCTAGGGAATATCCAAAAGATGATAATTATAGTTTAATGCACATGGCCAACACCTGAGTATGAAAGATTAGCTTAAACCAATATATCTAAATTCTCACTCTCCTTGACTGATCCCCAAAGCAGTGGTAGGTTTCAAAAATTTTTATTACCGGTTCTGTGGGTGTGGCTTGGTGGGCGTGGCGTGGCTTGGTGGGCGTGGCAGGGAAGGATATTGTAAAATCTCCATTCCCTACCAACTCCAGGGGAGGGTTACTGCAAAATCCCCATTTCCTCCCGATCAGCTGGGACTCAGGAGGCAGAGAATAGATGGGGGCGGAGCCAGGTGGTATTTACCGGTTCTCCGAACTATTCAAAATTTCCACTACTGGTTCTCGTCAGAACCTGCTGAAACCCACCTCTGCCCCAAAGCCTAAGTAGGTCTGACCTATTCATAATTGGAAATTATATGACAATCTCATAGATGATCTTGTGAAAGATCAGGAATCCTCAGGCTGTAGCTTAGATTGGAGGTCAATAGAGTTCTTGAACAAAGACAGTGTCAGGGAACATGCAAAGGTGCGCCCTTTCGGTCACAAATAGCTGATTTCAACTAAAAGGAGGCTGCTTCTGAACTTTTGATCCACTGAGCTCCATTACATTCAGATAGCGAGCAATATTAGAGATACTCATGACATAACGCGAGCGTTTCTTCACTGAATTGCATTGTTTCATCAAGAGTTTCATAATGTCCCAACAAATTTCTTTATGTGGGTAAAATATCATCTCCTTATAAAAATCTACCCTTGTGAAGAAATGTCAAAACAGTTCCACGTTTTTCCTGTTTTTGCAAAACAGCAAGTGGGCATATAAATTCATATAAATGGCTGATTTATCTAGCTGTTTCCTATCTAAAACAAAACAAAGCAGCAGCAATTCTCCAAAACAGCAAACGGGGATTCATTTGGCGATGTCAGCAGCCTTTCAACCTGAGAGACTTTGGGCGTACACAGAGATCTTCTCTGCTGAACTACAGACCTTCATAATGCACTGTTCTGATTCTGTTCTTTATTACATGATTTGCTAGTTTTCCGTAATGGATTGACATCATGCTGCCCCTTTTAGATTCTTTTCCCAAAATAATTCACAGTTAAAATGTGTGCTTCTAAACTTAGATACTTCTTCAATACACTTGCTGAAATAATTTATTACACATTGTTCTCCTTTTGGCTGGAAGGATGGGTCAAACCCTCACTCCACCCATTTCAACATTCCAGGTTTGAAGTCACCAGAATTCCTGTTGTGCATCTCTGAATGCTTTTGAACTTCATTGACTTCTCGGAGAATTATAAGTATAATGATATATTTGCTGTCAGCACAGAATACTTCTCTGGGCACCCACTTCTTGCTTTACCTCTCCCCTTTTATCCCCATGGTATTGCCCACTGAAATCAATCACTCAGTAATGTAAGTAGGTGGATGAACAGATTGATAAAACCTTGAGGTTCTACTTTGAAGCAGCCTTCCATGTATGGAACTTGCTTTCAGACTCCACTTGAAAAAAGGCCCAGTTTGCCACATTTTAGTTGTGATTGTGACAAATCCTGTACATAAAATTGAATGCATTGTGCAACCGTGATGAAGAAATAAATTCTTATCTCTATAGATTTTGTGTAGGCCTTTCCTCAGAAGTGGCTTTTTCCAAGATAATAAGAGTATGAAATCAGTCAGAGGCACACGTCAAGTCAGTGTACAATGTGTGATGCATTAACGTAACCAGAGAAAAATACTCTTCTTCATGCACAGCATTAGAATTATTAGAAATATGATCCTTGTATTAATTTAATTATGTTGACATCTAATGAACTATGCACATGGGCCACCACTTTTGGTGGATTTGGCTAATCTGTAAACAACCCATGTAATCCAAGACAGGGATGGGATAGAGGAAAGGTAAGGAAAAAGAATCAAGGTGCATTGGCATCTTTTTATTCCTATCATTTTGATGTACAGGTAGTCCTCAAATTACAACCACAGTTGAAATTTCTGTTGCTAAGTGAAACAGTTGTAAAATAGGTTTTCCCCTATTTTACGATCTTCCTTGCCACAGTTGTTAAGCGAATCACTGCAGTTGTTAAATTAGCAACATGGTTGCAAAGTGAATCTGGCTTCCTCTTTGACTTTGTTTGTCAGAAGGTCGCAAAAGATGATCACATGACCCTGGGACACTGCAATCATCATAAATATGAGCCAGTTGCCTCCATGGAGGGCTGCAAAAGTCATAAGTCATAAAAGGTCATAAATCACCTTTTTCAATGCCCTTATAACTTTGAGCAACCACTAAACAAAAGATTGTAAGTCAAGAACTACCTGTACTTCACCTGTTGGCTAGCTGGGTCTTTATATGATCTGACTGTAACCAAGCTGCACTAGCGGGATTCAACATACTATACCAGTGATGGCTAATCTTTTTGCCATCACATGCCAGGAAGGGGGGGGAGGTTCGTGCACGCGCATGCCCACACCCATAATTCTATGCGCCCCGCCCCGCATATGCGTGTGCAACCCCCCTCCCCGCCCGCTCCTGGCACGCAATGGCCCGGTAGGCCCATTTTTCTTTCTCACCTGGCTCCAGATCCTCTCTATGCATCTTGGGAGGGCGAAAACAGCCTTCCCCCCCCCAGGCCCTCCGGAGGCAGGAAGCAGCCTGTTTCCCTACTTCTGGTGGGCCCAGAAGGCCCAAAAATCAGCTGGCGCGCGCCGGAGCTAAGCTGGCATGCCAGGTGACATGGCTCTGTGTGCCACCTGTGGCACGCGTGCCATAGGTTCACCATCACGGTACTATACACTGCTCAAGATTGCAGAAGGTTGTTTCACTGTGTTCATTGGTAGTCTGCCCTGAATTCACAATGGATTGTGTGACTTTTCTGTGTACATAGGAGCTGAATATGGACTCAGGCAAGATGGAGCTTGTTCTTTTCTTTGTGTACACATGAAAGCCTTCACAAACGCCACACGATGGATCATGCCGAAACTTTTTTTTTTTTAAATCTAGTTTCTATAAGATGTTAATGAATGCAGTTGATTCTAGATATTGCTTTCCTGGACTCTGGTGCTGAAGCTATTTCTCATAGTACAGTGGACAAGAAAAGCATATTTCAATCTATTGCTCCTTCCTATTAATTTCGCTGGAGTTAATAGAAATATTAAACCAGATCCACTCCATTAAGTTTTCACTGTAATTGCAATAGGCACAGTTTGTCGCTTTTTCCTTGTAAGTTTCATAAACATCTGAATTACAATCAGTCTGCATAATTTCATATACTTATTTTCCACCTCTAGTATATACATTTTAAATAAGCAGTAGGTTAAATAATAGGAAAAAATATTTTTGACAGTAACATTCCATAGAGAAAGCAATAATTGAGCTGCTGTCCATTTTCCAGGGATGTCTCCAAAAGGGGGGGATTTAGTCAATCTCTGACAGACCTAGATTCTGAAGGAAGCCCTTCCGATTTCCTCCACTCTCCCAGCCGCTTCTTGAACCATTCCTAGAGAAACAAAGGAATGTTGCTCAATGAGTAAAGAGGACAGTGGGCTACAGGTAGTCCTCAGCCTACAACCATAATTGAACCCAACATTCCTGTTGCTATGTGAGACATTTGTTAAGGAGTTTTGCCCCATTTTATTTATTTATTTATTTATTTTATTCAATTTGTATACCGCCCTTCTCCTAGTGGACTCAGGGCGGTGCACAGCCAGAACTAAAACACATACCAATACAAAATTTAAAATTATTAAAAGAATTACATACTTTGGCCCAAATTTAAAACAATTCGAATTAAAAGCCACTGACAGATTAAAAGCTAAAAAGCTAAAAAACTAAAAAAAAAAAGGGGGGGGTCACGCCAGCCCTGCTTGATGGAAAAGAAAAGTTTTCAGGGCACGGCGAAAGACCCGGAGATCCAATATCCTTCTTATCTCCGGGGGCAAATTGTTCCAGAGGGCAGGAGCTGCCACAGAGAAGGCCCTCCCCCTGGGGGTCACCAGCCAACATTGCCTGGCTGATGGCACCTTGAGGAGTCCCTCTCTGTGGGAGCGTACTGGTTGGTGGGAGGATATCGGCGGCAGAAGGCGGTCCCGCAAATACCCAGGTCCTATGCCATGGAGCGCTTTAAAGGTGGTAACCAACACCTTGAAGTGCACCCGGAAGACCACTGGAAGCCAATGCAGCTCACGCAGGAGAGGTGTCACATGGGACCTCCCCCTCACTCCCATAATCCCCCGCGTGGCCGCATTCTGCACCAGTTGGAGCCTCCGGGTACTCCTCAAGGGGAGCCCCATATATGACCTTTCTTGCCTCAGTTAAGTGAACCACTGCAAGTTAAGTTAGTAAACCAGTTGTTAAGTGAATCTGGCTTCCCCATTTACTTTGTTTGTCAGAAGGTTTCAAAAGGCAATCACATGACCCTTGGACACAGCAACAGTCATAAATATGAACCAGTTGCCAAGCATCTGAATTTTGATCACATGATTATGCGGATGCTGGAAGGGTTGTAACTGAAAAACGGTCATAAGTCACTTTTTTCAGTGTTGTTGTAACTTTGAATGGTCACTAAATGAACGGTTGTAAGTGGAGGTGTCAACCCTGAAATTGGCCTGACTGAGGCCATTTTGAGACTTCAGCACTGACACACTGGAGAAGAGGGACAGGGAGGGGGAAATAGAGATAGTTGGGGTGTTGTAGCCAAAACAAAATACTTTCTCTTGGGAACCAAGGACATTGCTGCAGGTGCTCGGAAGAGGGGACTGGAGTCACCTAGCAACTGAACAGTATCCTGATTGGACAATGTGACTGATTGTTTTGAGAAGGTGAAAAACTTTTACTTTTAATTAGGTGAAAACCATGGGAATAGTCAGAGTCGGTTTTCACCAGCTTGTGCCAATATGACATATCCAATAAAATTATTCTTTGAGGAATCTACCTGCCTCAGAGTTTTGTTTGCTGTGGGTATGTTACTTGGAACCCTGACAGGAGGTCTACCTGTACTGGGCAAAAGACAATGAGAGTTTAGCAGGCAATGGTAAAATGAGTGGTGAGCTACAGAGAGTATAGGTTTTGAAAGGAGAAAAAAAAGAATGGCCATTCCCTCTGGGAAAATATAGGTATGGAATGGACATTATCATTTTGACCTATATGTAAAAGAAAGAATTTGAATCCCTACTAAAAAGGGGTGGGGAAACCTTTCAGTCAAAGAGAAAAATGCTTCCTCAGTCCATTCCCTCTTGCTTGTTTTGTGCATTGAAGGAGGATGAATTAGCTTTAAAAAAAAACCAAGAAGACTAGATCTCTTATCCGTAGCCAAATATGCTGTAATTCATTCTACCACCTCAACAACATTCTACCACTCCATTCCTGATACACTGTGGAACAGGAGAGTCAAATGGCATAAAGGGTTGGTCCCCCATAAACATCCCACAGAGAGGTGGTTTTCTTCCATCAGTAAGAAGATTCTGATTCCACAGAGGGGATTATAGGATGATTCTTATTCCCTTCCCATATGTTCTAGAAGGTGAGGCACCCTTTAGCCCTAGCAAATGCTTGGAGGAGATGAGAAGGAATAATTTATTGGGAAGTGGTACATGGGAGAAAGGTGGTCCAGAAATGAATGGATCACCCCAAGATGCAAATGATTATATTTGAAGTTAAAGACATGGCTACTCACTAGAACCTCTTCTACTGATAGCCCTGCCTCAGCAGCGATGAGGTCAAGAGTGGCACGATCAGGGTTCTTGCTGATTCTGGTGAAGTTGTACTCCAAAATCTCCACCTGGTCTTCTCTGATAGCCTTTTCCGTAGACATTTTCACTTTGTACACGTTTGGTAGCCAACAGACAGCTAGGAAGGCATGTCAACACAAAGAATTAGATTCTGTGCAGAAGTTACTATCTGCCTGATCCCTTTGATTCAATCACAAGAAATATTTTTACCAAAAGTTTTATTTGCATTTTAAATACACAATCATCCCACTACCGTTTCTGTGCAGCACAATGTTGAGATTTATTAGCAACTAAGAACCAGTTTGATGTAGTGATTAAGGCACTAGGCCAGAAACCAGGTGATGTGAGTTCTAGTCCCACTTTAAATACAAAGCCAGCTGGGTGATCTTAGGTTAGTTTCTCTCTCTCAGCCCTAGCAAAGCAGGCAAGTGTAAACTACTTATGAAAATCTTGTTACAAAACCACAGGGACTTGTCATCGAAAACTGACACCGAGGCACCAAATAAGAGAGTTTTCTTTTGACAATGGTCAAATGTCAACCCTGACAAGCTACCTATTGTGAAATGCAATGCATCATTTTATGCCAATGATCAAATGCAGTGAACTGCTAAATAAATTTGCATGTCTGTCATATTCTGAAATACAGTCAAAAGCTAATTAGTTTTAGATGCCATCTATCAAATGCTACCATATTTAATTCTCAAAAGTTACATGTTGAAAATAGGCAGTGCAAACAGTAATATTAATGCTTTTTGAATGTTTATAATATAATGAGGTTTTATTATTGATTAAGTGCCATCAAAGGGGACACAGTGGCTCAGTGGCTTAAGACGCTGAGCTTGTCGATCAGAAAGGTCGGCAGCTCGGTGGTTCGAATCCCTAGCACCGAGTGAGCTCCCATTACTTGCCCCAGCTTCTGCCAACCTAGCAGTTCAAAAGCATGTAAAAATGCAAGTAGAAAAATAGGGACCACCTTGGTGGGAAGGTAACAGTGTTCCATGCGCCTTCGGTGTTTAATCATCCTGGCCACATGACCAGAATTGTCCTCAGACAGTGCTGACTCTTCAGCTTAGAAACGGAGATAAGCACCGCCCCCTAGAGTCGGGAACTACTAGCACATATGTGCGAGGGGAACCTTTACCTTTAATTTATGTGCCATCAAATCAGCATCAGTCCAGAGTCATCTTATAGGGGAGATGGGTGGCATTAAAATTTAAACAAATAAACAAACAAAAAGATTTTAATGACCAAATAGCCTTTCTTCAGGATGAATTGTCTCCAAACTGGCCCTAAATCTTCCAGGAAAGATCTATTAAAATTAATTCTGAGGAATTTTGCAGGGTAGTTGGGATGGAATTTATCATATAGCAATCTGGTATTAGGATTAAAATTAGCATGTATTAACCCTAACATATTCTTACAATATTCATAGGGATTATAAAAGAGGTTTATATTTACAAGAATATAGTGTTTATACAAATCTCTAAAAGGGATATTTCCAGAAAAACCTTAGTTACTGAACTTTAGTGAATTGCTTCAAATTGTGCAAAAAACAGATCAAATCAAGACATTTTATTAATTTTAATGATATTAATGATATTTATTAATAATTTCCCTTACACGCTGTCTGAACAAGTATGTCAGAAGTCCTATATTGTTTCAGCATGTTCAAAAGGTTTAAATCTCCAAGATTCTTTGGGAAAATAAAATAAATATAAAATTATTAGGTTTATACTGTAATACAGAATATTTCCAGGTAGAAGGTTCTAGGGCCGTGATGGCGAACCTATGGCACGCGTGTCACAGGTGGCAAGCGGAGCCATATTGGTGGGCATGCGAGCTCAGCTCCAGTGCGCATGCGCACGCCGGCCAGCTGATTTTCAGGCCTTTTGGGCCCACCAGAAGTAGGGAAACAGACTGTTTCCTGCCTCCGGAGGGTCTTGGGGGGGTGAGGAAGGCCTGTTTTTTTGCTCTCCCCAGGCTCCAGAGCCTTTCTAGGAGCTTGGGGAGTGTGAAAACAGCCTTCCCCACACCCCTGGAGACCCTCCGGAGGCTGGAAATGGCCCATTTGCCAAAACGGCCATTTCTTAAGAAAGCAGCTATATCTGAGCTCTCGAATTGGAAAGCATGATGCTAGATGGGTTTGCTATTGGCTCTCCATAAAGCTGCACCAAAAAGGTCTATCAAATGCATATCCGAACATAGAATAACAGAGTTGGAAGGGAGCTTGGAAGTCATCTAGCCCAATTCCCTAGCTCGAGCAGGAGATCGTATATAATTTCAGACAAGTGGCTGTCCAGTCTCTTCTTAAAAGCCTCCAGTAATGGGATACCCACAGCTTCATTTGCATACCAGCCAGTGGTGGGTTGCTCCCGGTTCGCACCGGTTCACAAGAACCTGTAGTAAAAATTTGTAGTAGTTGGAGAACAGGTAATAACATTGGCTGGCCACACCTCTGAACTGGTTCCCGGCCCGGTCGCCCCTCACTTATCCCACCCACCTCATCAGAGGCTTTTTATTTTTTTTTACTTTTAAAAGCATTTTTTCTACAACCTCTTTGGCTGAAAAAAATGCTTTTAAAAGTAAAAAAAAAAAGCCTCTGATGATCGTGTGGCTCAGCTGGGATTGTCAGAGGCTTCTAAAAGCATTTTTTTCCTGCAACCTCTTCGGCCAAAGAGGTTGTAGGGAAAAAAAATGCCTTTAAAAGCCTCTGGCGATCCCAGCTGAGTTGCCTGATCATCAGAGGCTTTTAAAAGCATTTTTTTCTGCAACCTCTTAAGATTGTAGAAAAAAAATGCTTTTAAAAGTAAAAAAAAAAAAGTTGGCCAGGCCCACCCAGTCACATTATCCCGACCAAGCCAAAATAAGCCACGCCCACAAAACCGGTAATAAAAATTTTTAGAACCCACCCCTGATACCAGCCACCTTCTTAATCTTTTTTGAGACACCCCCTCTCACCAGATGCCCATCCCTACTTATCAGAGCTTTCAGTTTATAGAGGGTATGCATTCAAAAAACAAAAAAGAAAGTAAAGTCTACCATTCGGAAAGGGGAGGATCTTTTGCTTTGCATTAGAAGCATTGCCTGTGACTGAATTAGACATGCTACTAACATTAGCATAATCATCCAGGAGGAAAAGTCAATTCTTGTTATATGAATAGGTTAATTATATCCAACCAAACTAAAAATACTTGCTTTTGGTGGGAAAGTAATATACTCTAGTTTTTTGTATCATGCTCAGCATGGTTAAATACCAGATTTCAAAGGAAATTCACTTTTTTCATACTGAACTTATCCAACAGTCCTTGCTTATAAACAGCACTTGGGAAATAGAAGACTGTAGAAGTGGTAAAAATGTTCAATGTTTGCAGTTGCTGGCTCTCTCTCTTCCTCAATACGTAATCCTCAAAAGTGGTTATAAATGGCTGTGTCCCTATTGTATTTTAGACCCAACAAAAGTACACTGCAGAAATGCAAAGAAACTTTCAGAGAAAATAAAGCCACAAAAAGAAATCAATGATTTCTGCTGTCTCCATCTAAATTACCAGATCGAATTTAACTTGGCAATATCCAACCTTTTGCAGAAAGATGATGATGAAAATAAGCCTATGGAAACTTTTGGTGCCATCTAAAAGGGACTTGACATCCCACAGGAAAAATGGTAAAATACGTGGCATGAGATCATCACACAAATGTCACAACTTAGATACTTGTATGAGAAGTCAAGAAGCAAAGACTTAAGTGTGACATTTGAATGATGACATGATCTTGCATATGATCTGATTTTAGCAACATGATTTATTATGGTTGCCATTGACCTGAGAGCTCAATATATGTACACCTTGTGGCATAATGCTCATAGGAATGTTGGTATTATTGCATGTGAAGTGACTTACATCTCATTTGAAATGTGGGATGTCCCAAGAGGGGGACATAGCTGAGCTCTGACTTCTGACTTCTTCTGCCAAATTTAGAGCAGGGCTGCACTCTAACTGGTATAGATACATTTTGCAAATGTATTACAATTTGCAATACGATTACAAATGTTGGGCGCCATAGAAGGAGTATGGATAATGGTTTTTCCTGGTTCTACTTTCTATCCAATTGCTGACAAACCTGTTGATTCCCCTTGCCTGAATGCTTTTGAGCAGAGATGGGACAGCAGGGGCACACAAAGCATTTTCAGTTCAAAACATTTCAATTTGAAGCAGCACATTTCAAACCCGTTTTGAGTTTGGAAGAGATAGTCTGGTTTTATTGGAAATGTTTAGCGAAGTTCTAACCATTCTGAGAATGTTCTGAGCTTGAAACAGCCTCATTTCACATTCGGACCACCCATTCCAAATTTAAGACAAGAGCTTTTTGCCGGACGCTAAACTTTATAAAGTTGAAACATAGTAAGGTTGCAGAAGGCCGTTTCAAACCCAAAGCAACCATTTCAAATCTGGATTTTTAAAAGAATTGCACACCTAAAATCTCTGTCAGGGAAATTTTAAATGGGATTACAAAAGGAGGCTGGTGGCTGGATTTCCAACTGATCCTGTGTCACCTTCCAATATAATATCCAACACCAAAGCCACATGGACTATATTCATATACACATAATCCTGAACCATACATATCTGAATACAAGTAACTCATTTTCCTAGATTTGAACAACACACTGAATCAAAAATTATCCCCAGTGGCTGGGTTTGCATAACATACTAGTTTACAAATTGGTGTTGATGATGGCAGTGATAATAGTGTATTGTGCAAATCTGGTTTAGTCAACAGGCACCATCTAGTCTAAAATACCTCAAGCAGCAAGTGTCTGTGCCTGCCCTTCTTTAAACTGCAGCATAGTAAAGCAACCTTATTTGGAGTCTTCCACCTGAAGTTGTTATTGTACTTGCTTTTAATCGATCCTTCTACCAGAAGAAATATATACTTCTTTTAAAAACCATTTGAGGAGGAAAAGTGCCAGCTGGTAAGCTTTGGGTCTCCCCAGCCACCCTCTCATGCTTCACTTTATATAGTATCATTCATTTATTGTAGCAATCTACCTGTCCAGGAAGGAGATTGGCCATCTGGGTGCCCATCTGTATTACTATGTGGGAATGACCTTAGGGGACAGGA